CTGCCGCTTCGTGACAGTTCGTACCATCTTCGCGCGTGGACTTTGACCAAGGCAGCTGAATATGGACTGAAGTATTGCCCCTGTGGTCATTCCAATTAATGTTCTTTGTGTTACGCGACACGTGAAATTTGGGATCAAAAGCATTGCATGAAGGGATAGTGAGCTCTCCGAGTCGGCGGCATCCCCAGAAAGTAACCAAAGCCAGGGCCCATATAGCGCAATGGAACGAGTTTGAAGTATCTAGAGCACGGTAGAGGGCTAATAAGTGTGCGAGTGTGATAGGGTGTCGTATGGGTCGTTTGTGAGCTGTCCCTTCCTTCTTCGCTGCCTTCCGGGCCATCTTTATTTCTGGTGAATCACTCGGCCATTGAGCACCTGAATACTCGAACCATGCACGTAAACCTGAGAGCCAGTTCTTGATACAACTACCTGAGACCTTGCCCATATGATGACCGACGAAACCTGCGATAAGCATGGGATGGGCGGGCATACGATCCTCTTCAGGAATTTCCCTAGAATCGCAATATTGATTGAAACGTAAGGGGCCCGCCGCGTATGAAGCTAAAGTGTTCGGCGCCAGTGACTTTTGCATAGCGTTATGTGCATCGTCAATCACTGATAGTGGAAGGGATTCAGATAAGTGTTGTCGGTGTTGAATTGCCCAGGGAGACGTCCAGGTGTGTAGTCGTTTGGTAGCCAGAGAGTGTTTTCGTAGGTCGGAAGGCCTGTATTCTTGTCCAGGGAGAGGTTGACGTGGATTCGGTGTAGGATTAGGATAAATTTTAGTGGCCGTTGGGTATGTAGAAGGGATATAAGGAGTAAGGAATGTTGGGATTATAGGTGCCGTAGGTTCGGGATTAGTATGGATGTGTGGTAATATTGGAGCAGCGGGCACTCGCGGAAGTGCCTTGCTCGCGCTAGAATCAGCTAGCGCAAATTCTGGTGGCAGCCTAATAAATTCAATGCGTTGTTCATCAGAATATTTGTAACGGGATAATATATAAGCTTTCAATACCTAAACATAAATAAGAATATCATCTAGCTCCTGCGGGAGCATAAACGCAAGTGGGAGTTTTGTATTCCTTGATCCTAATATTCCGCGAGATATAGGGTCGGCAGGATTCTCCGCTGAGATGACATATTCGATCTTTGGTTGAATGTACAGGGGTCCAATGACACCGCAAATACGTCGTATAGATGTGTTGATCCAGAAGTTTGGGCTACGAGCCTTGTTGAGTGCTCCAATTGCACCTTTGTTGTCTGAATGAATAAGGATGAGGGCATCATGATATCCCATTACTTCGAGATAGTATATAGCTAATTCGATAGCGATGGTTTCTAACCAACAAATATCTCTTCCGGGAAGCTTCCAGTCTGAAGTTAGATGAAATGCCGCCCAAGTGTCACCAATTATGATGCCGATGCCCCAGTCCGTGGATGCATCAACGTATATGTCCAAGTCTAGCAGATCTCCTAATTGTCGTAGCTCACGATAATAGAAAGGATTTTTGAGGCGTTCTAGCCACCATTTGATTTCTGTAAAGACTGCTGGTGTTGGGAAACGTCCGGCGGAAGCTTCGCGCTCGCCACGGTATGTAGCCATAAAGTTTGATATGGGAGGAAGATGTGAACGTCCATCAGGATGTAAGAAAGCGAGATGACATAGGGTGCCATGTAGAGATTCTAACTCGGGTAATGGGGTTTTCCGGCCGGTGAACTTTTCGATGAAGATTACAAGGCGGTGTAGGTATTTGATTCGCTTCGGTTCTGGTAAACTAACCCGTCGGTTGTCGATATCCCAACAAAATCCTATGAACGTAATAATCGAAACGAATAATTTGTCGCCTTTGAGGGGGTGCCATGGAACGCCGAGTGGTCGAATTATGTCTAGCATTTGTTCGCGGTCGTAGGGATATGTACTGTCTTCGAGAGGCACCGAAAACACCGCGAAATCATCTTCTATTTTCTCCACCGGATGTACCCCTCTGGCTTTCCAGATATCCCGTACCGCTGCGGAGACCTGTCCCGAGTTGCTACTAGCTGACGAAAGTCCAAAACAGTGGACGTTCTCGAACCAGAAATCACCGTGATTGTCGCGTACCACCAGATAAGGTTTGTGGTGTGGGAGTACCGGAATTGTCCTATGAAACTTTTCGATATCAAGGGTGAGGCCCTTGGTACCACGCGGTGCCGAAGCAATCTGTAGATATAAGTATAAGTTGAATGTTCTGGAAGTGATAATCCGAATATAATAATGCGGTATAATGCGCGGAATAATAATTTTTTGAGCATAAAAATCATAAGGCCTGGGATAATATGAACGGGCATAACACCCGTAGGGCCGTAATAACAGGGCATAATAATATAAGTTGGTCCCTCGGATTGAAGCCAAGTAGACCGTGGGGTAATCAGTGTGAATTAGGATAGAAAAGACTCACCGTATCTGCTATTTCCGGTGCTGAACTAAAAGTTGTTGGAAATAATGTCTTTTCGACGGAAGAGTTAACTGATGGAATTATATTCCTAGAGGAATTGCGACCGTCTTTGGATAGATTACGGCAAACACGGAATTTTGGGGGAATACCGGGTCCTTGTTCTGATTTGGAAACGATGAAGGGGGAAACCCGGAAATGTCCTCTGCAAATAAAATAAATCTCGTCATGTGTGAAAGGTCCATCCATACGACCTGCGGCGACTTCTTCGGCAATATACTGGTCGACTACCTGAGGGTATTGCGAAACGCTCGGGTGATTGGGTGTAATGATTGTTTCTGTGAGAGGTGGCATAACTCCGATAGGAAAGCCCAAGCGAAGATTTCGAACTAAGAGAGGATGGGAGCTGGTAAGATTACATTCTGAAAGCATTCGTTCAAAAATGTCGGCGTTGTAAGGAGTCACAATTTTGTTGTATAGTTGAACGAAATGATCTGGCGTATTCGGCAAAGGGTTACGTTCGATAATAGCTGAAGAGAAATCATGGAATTGCAAAGTGGGATATATGGAAGACTGAGGGAAATGATCAAGCGGAGAAATATTTGCACCTCCCGGCGTGGTGGTCCTTACTGCCGCAGAGGGAGCAAACGTGGAGGTATGTGCATGTCGCGGAACAGCGGGAAGCTGCCAGGTTCCAGGGGATGCAGATTCGCTCGGCTGCTCGGTCAGGCGTGACCAGACTGGTGTTGTTGTATTTAGCCCAGAGTAACGGTCCCTGTTTACCATCCTTGTGTTCTCCCAATTTATGACCCCGCTGACCGCATCCGATGCAGCAAGGTCCGGGGTTGTTAGCCTTACTGCCCTGCGGAAAGGGCTGGTTTGGAGGAGAAGAAGAGGAGGAGTAGTTCGAGGTTGGGTTGGATTGGAAAGGATAAGAATGCCACGATGATCCACCGCGGGCTTTTGTCATCGTCTCCTCGAACTCGACTCTGCTCTCCACCTTGGTCCATTCCGAGTCGTACACTCCCTGTATGAAACCGGTGAATTCCAGGTACTGTTCATTTCTGATTCGGAGTTCCGCTGGCTTCCAGTAAGTGTAGAGCTTTGCCGTATGACGTTTATTGAGGAAAAATGAGAAATGTTGGATGATAAATTGGGCTCGTGAACCTGCTGGGCCCTCTGGGTCGCGACTCGTTTCGAACCTCATGTAGTTGTTGACACACTCCACGAAAAGAATATAATCGAGTCCTTCGAGTCGGTCTTCCTCAGCGTATTTTATACGTAGGAGTTTCTTCAAGGCTTCGAGGTCGATGAAGTAGCCGCTCTTCCTGGTATCATTCGACTTGTATTTCCTCCGTGGAAGGGAATGGGCGCGAGCGGAGATGAATTGGAGAGAGTCGTTGCTGAAGAATGGTAATGGAATAGGTGAAACATGGGCAATTTCGTATAACGCGTCGTGGAAGTTTGCTTGGAAGGGGACTAGTGGGTTCTTCATCACCGGGACCAAGGGTTCGGCCAGTCTTCTCTTTTTCTTCTTTTCTTCCTCCGCTTCTGCACTCGTATCCTCCTCTCTCTCTCTCTTATCCTTTTCCTCCTGGTTCTTCCGGCTCTCCATCCATTCTAGTACGAAATCCGGGATCAGGTGCTTCAATGAGTCGAAACGAAATGGGTTAGTGCGGATTTTCTCCCATTCTTCCGGCTGGATAGTGAGTTCGGAAGTGACTGGTGATGGCGTCCTGATGTTCTCCGGATCCTTGAGATGTGCTGCCCGTTGTAAATCGCGACGAATATTGTTTGCATTGTTTTCTTTGTTGAATGTAAGACGCGTCGTTACATCCCAGGAAGCGAACATATTGCGAGCTTCGGTGCTACTGTGGGTTATATGCACTCTATCGGGGTTCTGTAATGTCGGACGGCTGCGTAAAGGGAGCTGCATTGTTGTATCCGAAGATTACGACGAAAGGTGGGATTGTGGGATGTATTGCGATGAGTGTCGTGAGTGAGAACGGACAAGCGCCTAATAACACTCATCGCCACTCCTTATCTTATCCTATGATAAGCCAACCTACGGTTGACTTATCTCGGATTAACCATTATTTTGGAGAAATTATAAAAAGTCATTTCGGTCTAGTACGCGTCAACCTCTGTGCAAGAGAAATTCGAAGAATTCCATACGGGGGCTGACCACTTTTTCCGTTTCGAAATCAAAAAAATAATAGAATGGTGCGTTCACAGTGTCGTAGTCATCATCTTCGTATTGTTGAACAATGCATTTCATCAGTTCCCAATGGTTGGCGCTCAATACTTCGTTGGAGTGCGGAAAAACGGAGATTGTGTGAATGCATTGTACATGCTATACATGTCCTTCAAGCCACCACCATTTGATACAATCATCCGGTCTCCTTGGACCACATCTTTTCAATACATCCACAGTCACTAAGTAACGCTTCTCTCCCGCTACTCGGGTTGGATTCCTGAGCTTGTACAAAAGCCATCTCAGCAGGTCTCGACAATACGTCTCTTTTCGTTCTCACGTACTGCATATCTTAAAGCAAGTTCTGAAGAAGAATGTGCCACTTCGACAACACTCATATTACCGCCCTCACTGACCTTATCAACAAAGCTACTCAGGATGTCATTGCTGAATACTCTGCGGTTGGACAAGCCGTTCCATCTCTCGATACCCTTCAGCCGGGTCCATTCCAGGTACCAGAGGAAACGCCTACCCGATTGATCAGGGCCATACAAATCATTGAAGCGGCCTGTGCACAACTTAGCTTCACAATTGCTCCTCCAGGCTCTGTTATGGTCAATGTGAGTCTCGATGATGTTATTATGTTCTCTCCGTTACATATCATCTGCTCTAGAAATCATTGGAGGTATACATTAACCTGTCCCTTACGATGCACCTCTATCCTTACCAACCCTGGTTAGCATGAAGAACCTGCTTGCTTGCTCGTTGTAACTGAAGCTCGAATCGCGGACCTTTTGCTCGGCATACCTGAAGGTTTACATACCAGCATCAGAGTTAGCTTCCCGCTCGGGCCTTGACGCGAAGAAATTGACGCGCATTCTGCGTCTTCTCGCCACGAAGCATTGCTTCAAAGAGAGTAAGAATTTTTCAGCTCCTCCTAGCAACAACGAATCTAAATCACATTCTCCTTCCAGTCAAACCCGGGGTTTTCGCGAATAATCGGTTGAGCATGAAACTTCTCTCGTCCGATACCGTTTCGTCGATTGTGTGTCTACTGTACATTGTTCAAATCATGTGGTTGCTATCCGACACATCCTGAATTATTCCTTACAGGACGGATGAAAGTCTGCGGGCATCCGCATACCTCAACGATACCTTAACTGATCCTTCTGAGATGGATGGTGGGATCCCGTTTAGACGCGCTACCGGGTATCCGTTCTTTGATTTTCATAAAACAGTATGTTATCTGTATTCCAATTTTGTCAGATGAAAAAATGAACCAATCCTTCTAGCGGCAGGGGCTCAAAAAAGGCGAGGTATGTCGTCCTTAATCTAAATGTCTTCTCACTGTCTGTGCCCTGGTAACTTCTTTTTTCATTTTCGCAGCGCTTCCCAAGGGCTATGGTTGGCTGGGGAGATGTAACTGGAAAAGGTTTCCTAGCTAAAGGTATGTACGTTAATTAATTGCCCCTTAAGTTCTTGAGTTCCCTACCACGCTTACTACGAAATTGTTCTATCTGCTCCTGATATCAGTTTATCCATGGACATCCCTGCCCGCGGACACCACAGTTTGCGATATCGGTGGAGGCAATGGACATGTTACCATGAGTCTCATGAAGGCACATCCACATATCAAGTTAGTTCTTCAAGACCAACCGCAAGTTATCGAGATGGCGCGGAAGGTGTCGTAATTCATGTTTTCAATGTTTTTCGATGCTCATGGTTTCCGTTATCTACTAGTTCTGGGCTAAAGAGTACCCTAAAGCGATTGAGAATCAGAGGGTCGAATTTGTTCCATTTGACTTCTTCAAGGACGCTGCCGTGCAAGGATGCGATTTCTACTATGTATGTATGTCTTTCACGGTTGAATATTGGAATCCAACTTGCAGAATGGATCCTAGATTCGCTCGATCCTGTAAGATCTACTTCATGTTAACCTCGAGAAAGGTCCTGATGAATACACAGACGGGACTGGCCTGACGCCGAAAGCGAGATCATCCTCAAGAATGTGCGGAAGGCCATGAAGCCAAGTAGTAGGGTTATCATTCGTACGTTGTCTGTTGATATAAAGATCTTCCGTAGTTCTTCTGACGTCCGACCAGACGACACCGTTCTCCGCAACGCTGTCCACACTCACGAAACCTCATCGAATGAGGGCACTGTCCAGCTCGATATCGCGCCCGAACCGCTCCTACCGAATTATGGTGTCGCCCGTGTCAGAACGTATGAACTTGATATGACAATGATGAATCTATTGAATGCTCAAGCGCGGACACTTCCCGAGTTCATCGAACTAGGGTGAGTAGAATTTGTATGGTCTGAAATCCAACGTACTGATGCGTGTTGACTGATCTAGTAAAAACTGCGGGCTTAAGTTCGAAAATTTATATGGGGCTGGAGAGGTAGATCTGGTCGAGTTCAGTCCAATCTGAGAGACGAGAAGACGAGGTTGGAGTTACAAATGTACCTTACAATTCCCTGCAGTTATCACTAATCTCTGTTTTGAAAAATTTCCTGGATCTTTGACCTTTGGTGTTAAACCTCAACGCCTTTGAACACTTTCTCGAAGACCTCGAAATTCCTGGCACCATTACCAGGAGAACTGTACACCGCAAATATGACCTTCTTGAAGCGGCCCTTGAATTCAGATTCGAGAAGGATATCACGCATCTCGTTTGCAACGAGTAGTGGAGGGCAACGATACGCGCCGCAGCCCATAGCACCTAATCGTTAGCTTGATTGAGAAACAAAATCGAACGGGTCAATAGGACAAAAGAGCATACCGAGGACCAGAAACTCCTGGTCATTCCATCCCGCCATCCTATACACCAGCCTAATCTTCTCCCTCAAATCCTGCAGATCACTCTCCTTAACAAACCTCTGCTCGTCTTTCGTCAACTCAGGACCGCAGGGAGCAGCAACAGTGAGGACAGAGACAACACATCGCTCTTTATTGGGAAGGTCAACACAGTCGTGATCGAGGTCGTGCTTGAAGATAACGACGCCAGGCGAGAATACTCCCGCAATAGATCCAGGACCGAGATTAGGCCATGGGTAATAGGAAGGGGATAGAGTGGAGAAAAGAGTCGAGGAGTAACAGAGGGCTTCTTCCTGGCGCGGCCATCAGGAACTTTCATCCAATTGACACCAAAAACATCGACACACTTGAGTTTTAGATAACGTCGTATCCCATCCTCCACCTGGTCTTTGGTCACTCGCTAGGTTCAACACAGCCGTCTTCCCCGTTGCATTATGTGGATCATCTGATATCAGTCTTCTCGCGATGGTGAATGAATCCGAGTTGACAACAGATACTGGCTTTGGGCTTGGTATCTCTGAAAGAGTAGGAAGAGGCGGCAGTTGATCCGAAATGAATGTTGAAGCCAGAGTAGCACCTTGAGCTTCAAGTTCAACGGTGACATTGGTTGATCTCGCGATGGTATCTCTAGATACTGCGTGACGCTGTTTCCAGGTGAGAGTGCACTTTGGTGTTGTCATCAGGGAATGGTTTAAAGGCGTTTTGCCGATACGGCATTTGAATGGCCTTTACATACTATGATGCCGCTACAAAGAGCTCACAAGTGCATTCACAGAGCACGACATACTACATACTGGATCAGCTCTTCTGCAGCTTCCCGCGCCTTCGTGAACAGCTTGCATAATCAAAGAATTGTGATACAGCAAAACGCGTACATAATATAAAGCCCAATTATATCGTTTCTGTAAATGGGATCGTAACCGATTCTTCCTCCTTTCTCCTCCTCCAATATTCTCTGTTGTGAAGATCTTACTGTTTCCCATTGAGGTGGGGAACATTAGGATTGAGTGGTGGAATTTTACCTCTATATTACTAGCCGTTGTGAGTCAGGGGTAATGCCAGTAGTGAGTTTTGAACAGTTTTCGATGTTAATGGCAGCAGATAGGGAGGTAGAGCAACGGGGTACATACACGGAAGAAGGGTTGTATATGTATCAATGTCAGTCATTTAAAATGCACCACAGATATGTAACGATGAAGAACCGTCTACAGTATTACTAGTTGCAAAATAAGTAGATGGCTCAGAGTAGATATAAAATATTATGAGGAATGGAATTGACTCCGAACTCGGAGTCTCAAAAAATGGAACTCATACTTCAACTGCTCATCCCAGAGGACAGACTTAGGGAGCAATGGACGACAGGCTAGAACATTAATTGACCTATACAAATTTCTTTGACTGCACTATATATTTCAAATTGCAGTGAGACATCTCAAGCAACTCTTGAGTTCTTCAAATGGCCTCACTTGACCTCTTACTTCACGTCACTTATAATTACTATTCTTACCAGGTTTTACTCCACTTACTGAACGTGTTATGGATAGTGCTGTATGAATCAAGTATTCTAGAAGTTGGCCTCACTTCTTAGAACTTGCTGATGAATTCTGCTTCCTAATTGATACAGATAATCGAGGCTTTTTATTCCGAAATAAAGTTGACTCGGGGTCCCCGGAGATGAAGATTGAAAATCTTGACAAAGATTATTCCGATTATTCCATTCAGGTGATGGCGTTGAATAAATTTCTGCAATAATATTGTGTGTGACCATGGGTCGGTTCGCAATGTTTTATGCACCGCCTTCGATGAAATTCTATATCGGAATGATCAACGCAAGCTGGCAATTGTCTGATTCTGTCTGCGGAACCATATCAAGATTTACTGAATGTGCTGAGCTTCCACGTAGGTCGATACCGGCATAATATACATCAGACATGTGTATGCATAGACTCTTATACATCAGCGCTCGAAGGTTTTCGAAGGTCTGGTGAGGGTGCAATGGGTTATCTGAGATTCCTTTAAATCTTGGACAGGAACAACATGGCCACGCGATGCCACGTGGTGACTTGATCGATCGATCGCCACGTTGTTCTTTCCCCATCACACATGGCTCATTTGATTTCTTCGGAATCACTTCCTTCTTGTTCGTCCCGATTCCTTAAAATGCGAGAAGTTTGAGATATAGAGGAGCGCCTTGCGCTTCCTCACGACCAAATAATGTCTGGTTCCTACGTCCTCCTTCAGTATGGAACAGACCCATTCAATAATCGTTATGAGGATCCCGAAGGAAGACTAGCGTTCTCTTTGTGAGCATTGACCATACTCACGAATCCACAGTGGTGTCTCACATTTTTTGGCTCAACATTTAAGGTCCCTTGTAAGTCATTAAATGACCGGCTTTGAATAAGGTAATAATAACTTCTTACTTGTGCAGGCCTCCCAATCGCCCAATCTGGTCATAAGGCTTGCTCGACATATACCTTGGGCTCAACAATATCCAAATGTCATGGGTCCCGAGAACGCTTACTTTTATTTCGGTCCAGAAACAAGTCCAGGGTACATTGTTTATGGAAATAACCGGATTAGTCTTCCAATGTCGCATCTGAGTCGGCAGCAAAGAGAAGGGAGCACGTACGTCGTTTTATTTTCACGCAGTGCGCATGGACAAGGCTCAGAGTCGCAATTCTCACATGAACTGCTTAGCTCGCGCTACTTTACTGCCCAATCAGGCAGACATTACAAGTGGAGGATTACACCACACCGTATGGAGGTACGTTTTATATTTCGTTTCTCCTTTCCCACAGCCTACAACTGGAAAAAAAATTGCGGGAGCAATGGCAAATATGATATATTCCGCTGACGAATTTCTGTTCTGCTCTATCCCACTTTCCTATCTACCATACAATGAACGGGTTTACTGCCACGTTCGACTGTTCCTTCCCCATCCCCCCCCTTTCACATCAGTAGTGCATGGACGGAAGAACGTGCCTAGCAGTTTGGGAGGCCGTACCATCTACCGAATACGACTACGACGCGCGACTTACCCTTAGGCCTTCTGCTCTCATGCTTATCACAGAGATAATGACGACACTGATACTCAACCGTATGTATCTTGCGCTGAACTGGTAACGACTCTGGTCTTCTACTTGCAACCAACATGCGGCGGAACGAGGAAGGACATGACTTCCGACAATTCGGATACCGGCCTACTGAGTCACTTTGACGTGAAACTTAGGTTGCATTCCATTGCAGAAAACATCTGCTTGGTTTATGACATAGCATTCACGATCAAGGGCCTAAGCTCCTAGTATACGCACTGTGGCGGCAGTCGTTTGTATGTCACCTTCACTGATATCCTCCGCGGAAAATGTTCAATGCCAGACTATTTGTTCGAATGTTGGACGCCACCATCTTCTCGATGTCGCATATTTTTAATATCCATGCCGCTTCCTCAACTAAACCACTTCACGTTATTAGCTATGACTTTGTATACCTGCAACCTCACCCCGTGTAATCCTTTCCACATCTATCATCATACCCTACCAACACAATTAAAAAACGGCGTCACATATGTGCCTCTATGGCCGAAGGAGCCTATGTATATTAGCAATGTTTTTCAATGTCGTGTACTATTACAACTTTCACCATTTGTGTTCGTGATTTCCTTCATTGTTTGCTGACCTGTAATAATCCATTCCAAACGTCGAGAATCCGAACAGTATTTCCCTAAATTCGCTAGCGACAGGACCGATAAAGGTGGAGCTACAGCACGACGCACCTGGGTTCAGCTGGTAGTTTAGCTTGAACACGAGACAGACCTTTGGTCGGATTGAATGAATGACCTGATCCCGAGTCTCTGTAGGCGAATGCTACCTCATGGCACTCTCATTTTGTGAATTATATGCGCCCGAAGGTTGGAAGCCTTAAGGTTCTCTGTTGCCCTAAACCTCTCGTTCTTCTCTCATAACTACTTAGTAGTACTAGAGTATATGAGAAAATTTTGACTATGGTTGTTTATCTGGATGTGTCCTGAATAGGGCATGGAAATCCGTGACAAAGTTTCAATGGTTCCGACCAACCAGGAGTAGAGAGATAAACCACTTCTGAATAACACTTGCCGAACCTACTCCTCGTGTGTTCAGACATTAACCTATACCAAGTTCATCCAGATTTGACCAGCGACTCCAGTAAGCTGTAAAACAAATGATGATTAGGTTTGGTGTTTGGTATATCGTTTCGTGGGACCCGTTATAATCTGTACTTTCTGCAGGGAATCAAGTTGGGCATCCCCTTTCGCGATTTGTTTGATACGGGAGCGCGGTAACAAAGAAGAAATTCATCCCCGAGAGTCTCCGAGTTTGAAAGTCAATTAGCACAGGTGTACACCGTGCAGTTTGAAAAGACAAGGTGTATGCTCGTTATCGACGTAAAACTACGTAGAATTGTTTACGATTTTATGAAAGAAGACTAAAACAAATAAGGACTGTTCAGTTTCGGCGGCCCAAACCCGTGGGCCACGATCTGAACGTTCGGAACGGAATTTACGGATTTTTAGTGGAAAATTCCTGCTTGTGATTTATTATGCACATTACTTTACAGAAAAATGAACTAGTATGTACAAGTTCGCTCGGAAAGTTGGCCCGGGATCAGCCACGTGGCCCTTCTTGATTTATGCCTCCATCGCGTCTAAGCACCGTATTCGACCTTAGCAGTCTCCGGCTTCATACAGATGGTTCGCTCGTTCAACAGACCACGAAAAATAACAACTTGCGTTCCTCGAAACGCACTGTACGGGATACTCACGGTAATTGGATGGCTAAAGATGCCGGAGGATTAACTTTTGTGCCCAAGTACCGGAAAGTTTTACCTATGCAACGGGAAGACGAAGGGAAAGGAAGTATCACAGAAGACTATCTGGATAATGCCGCGCCTAGAGTGGATTTCTTTGCGCAACAGCCTACCTTGAAGACTTCTCGAGCCCGGAAACGGCGAAAATTCGCAACCGACGAAGAGTATCTCGCGCCAATGTTGCCTCTGCGTGGTAGCTCTGCTCTCAAGAATGACTCGGAGTCTATATTGCAGCCTCAACTGGCACATCCTTCATCAGTGAACCCATCCTTCCATATCTTCGAAAAAGCTTTTGATTAATCATCTCCTCATGTAGGACCTCTTAAAATGCATACATTACTATGCAAGTATGTATTATGACGAACGAGGATTGCTGTTAAATGTCTCGCGGCAGTATCGTAAAGAAAGAAAAGCGCGGAGACTTGCGAAACTGGCTCAGGATGGAAGGACTGCTCGCACGAAAACGAGATCGTCATCAGATACGGGTAAATTTTCTGGTTTGGAGGAAGATGCAATCATCGATGATGAGGATGGCGACGAAGAATCAGAAAGGGATCATCAGGAGGAACCTACGAAAGCTCCTGTGCGCAGAAAGGATCATGATATAGCCGACATGTACAAGACGATGGACGGTTCTGCTCTAATAGCAATAGGTTCGTATCTTTAATCAAGTGCCATCCCTTCCTCCCATCTTATATTCATGTTCAGGAATGCTGCTGCAGGAACACATTAACGAACTTTTACACCCACAAACAGTCTCCAGCGCAGAATTATAGGAACGAACAATACACCTTCATATGATCATGATATGAGTGATAATTCGGGCTATGACTTATACATGGTACATACTTCCACACTTGAATACATGTATTCCTGTTTCATTCAAATTGACGAAAATCTTCCACTCAATGAACATCTGTTGGTAACTACATGGAACTCATCCCCTTAGAAGATTCCCAAGAAGCCCCCGGCGACTTCGTTCTCATTCAAGTATCTCAAAAGCCTGACATATGAAGGGGAAATTGTACGTGTATGATTACATCTATGTAATTGTTAGAACAAGTAGGTGTGCGATTGGTGAACGCTACAGAATTGAAAACTTAGCGAGGTGTTGGAGTGTTGGATGTAATCGATTGCCAGGAACCTCGTATATGTAAATGGAGATACAGCAAGATGCACTGAAAGATATCATAGACGAAAAATCAGAAACATACCGGAACTCATTGTTACGATGAGGGCGAATGTAAACCGGCACTTATCCAGACTTATCCTTCCTCGGAGATCGCGTATGAATACCGTTATCATGATACAATACTGTAACAAATTCACAGATTGGTGGACCTGGAAAGGTGCGTTGATTGACAGTAACTTTCAAAATTCATGAAGCTCCAGGAAGCTCCTCGGGTTCGAAATCTGAAACAAAATTCTTGTGGCGCAGCTTACTTAGTGTGAGTATCATGTACGCAATTGTCAAGGAAAACAATTCCGTCCTGGGAAGGTGAATATACGAAGGAAGCAAGGGGAACATGTCATTGGGAACCTCTTTAAGATGTCGATATACATACAACACAGGAATATCATAGCGTGTGCTGAGGCCTGTCACGATACTTCGCGGGTAATATACGTGGGACCTGCGCAACGAGCTCTGTTGGATTCCAATCCTGCGGTAGCGTACCATCTTGCCAACTACGCATGACATTGGCATTCAAAATCCCGGAGTGCTCGCCAGGAAATATTCGCAGTCGCTCCATTCTCCTATCCCTCAGTTTATTTTTTGGTAACATACCAGATACAGCTTGTCGGATGATCTAACAAATAACCCTGGTCAAAAAAGGCATCAAAATTGAGCTTATATCAGTCGCACCTCCTCTGGTTTCTTTACCATCATATCTCTGTAGGGAGTCTCTTGAAGTCCTCCCGGAAACATCGTATGTTTGCGATATAAGATCTCTTGTTCCTTTCTTCCTGAAACCCGTATCCTTTTACAGTGGGTGACAATGACATAGTCCCCACAGTCGACTACATTTACCACTTAGAGCCATTCATTTGCTATGCCTAACGACTGTGCTCACCACTAGGGTTGTATATGGGCTTATGTTTGCCCATGAGCACCAGCGCAATACGCTCTGCGAGTTTTCCCAGAATGCGGTCTGTCGCGTCGACTTGATGCCATACTCGAGCGTATGCAAGCGCTGTCTAAATGGAGGGCTGAGAAAGACAAAAATCGCGAAATTTGACAAACGTACATTGCCCACAGCTTGGGACATGGAGGGCGAAGAATTAAGGTGTGTTTGTTCCAGAAGCTGTTGCCAAGCGGAATATCCGTAACATCCGTTCGGCATCGGGTCCGGCATTCATCTTATCGCTAGACCATGAACTTGATGGAGAAAATGTTACCCAGCTCTTTCTTTTCCTGTGCTTGCACTCACTATATCTCAGTCGACTCTTTGATAAACTTTTATGTCCACCCATGAAGAAGAAGATGTACAAACCCAAGTTGAAGTAGACAGAAATCCTAATTCGCCGTCAAAGTATCCAACGACCATTGGGTATGGCGAAGATGTTGAAAAACGTTCTACGAGACGGGAACTACAAGACGTAAAGCCGGTATATAGCCCCACGAACACTTTGGACTCCCGAGAAGTCGTCATCGTGGACTGGGACGGTCCAGACGATCCTAAGAATCCGAAAAAGCCTGTCTCTGTGCTACTTGTTCTGCAATATACGCACTCATTTGTTCTACAGTTGGCCCAGGAGTCGTAAATGGGCGGCTACTTTGATTGTGGCCCTATTTACTTTTGTTTCGCCCGTGGCATCCGCAATGATTGCACCTGGGAGTCAACAGGTTGCGGATGAGTTTGGAATAACGAGTAATGTCGTGCTGGATATGATAACATCCATCTTTGTGCTTGGTTTTGGTACGTTGTCTTTGTGCTTGGTTTTTGTACGTTCTATCACATCGTTTCTTAACGCTTCTTTTGGGCGTTGACTTATATAGCAATCGGACCGCTGGTAAATCGTGCTAAATCATTTCTCTCGTTCAAGTACTGATTTTCGTTCTCACCTGTCATTACAAGCTCATGGGACCATTGAGTGAATTATATGGTCGCTCTCGCGTGGTTCAATTGGGAAATGCCTTTTTTCTCGGTAATTTGACTACAGAATCACGCTCTGTAATTTGTCCATTTACAAGTCTTTACATATTCCATCGTAGTTTGGAATTTTTCATGCGGCTTCGCACAAAATCAAACGCAGCTCATCATCTTTCGATTTTTGGCCGGAATTGGGGGTAGTGCCCCACTAACTGTACGTTCTCTTCTTATGTTTGACCGAAACTTTTTTTTTCACCGGAGCTTCTTCACTCAGATTGGTGGTGCTGTCATTGGCGACACATTCTTTCCGGAAGAACGAGGTCGAGCTATAGCTATCTATGCTCTCGGTCCCATGATAGGACCTGCAGCCGGGCCAGTCATTGGAGCTTGGTCAGTCTAATATACAAGGTTCCATTTCTCCTTCATATTTTACATCGTCAATCACGTCCTTAGGATTGCTGCTCGAGTAAGTTGGAGATGGGTGGTACGTACGTTTTTTGTTTCCTAAGGCCTCTGTATATCTTCGGGCCTCGTTCATTCGGCCATTCATAGTTCTGGTCTACAACAATTTTCGATGTAGCCGTTCAAGCGGTGGGAATCATCCTACTACAAGAAAGTAATTAATCTTCGTCAAGATTCCTTCCTGTATTATCTCTTTGTTGACATTACCTGCCTAGCATTCGCCCCTGTGTTGTTGGAACGCAAAGCCCAGAGGTTGGCGAAAGCTTCGGATAACGAAAAGGGTACCGGTAAACCTACTTCATTTTCTACAATCTATGAGAACGAAAACAGAAAGTAATTTATTCACTCAATGCTCTGGTGAATCTATTGTGACCTTCCGTTTTTGCAGCTGGGCATACATCCTCCGAACGGCGCTGACCCGGCCTTTCATGATGTTCATCCGAGAACCAATTTTACAACTACTCGGCGTGTACATGGCTTTCATCTATGGAATATTCTATGGTGCGGAACTCACCCTACTCGCTGCCTTTAGACGTTTCTAATTGTATGCTCCCAAGCTCAGTTTTTATCACTACGATCCCCGGAATATTCACCATCATCTACGGCGAATCCATCGGTATTATGGGCTTGAATTATTTTGCTCTCGGACTCGGCATGGTTTTTGCCAGTTGGATGAATTCCAGGACTATGGACAAGATTTATATGTACTTCAAAACGAGGAACAACGGTATCGGCGAGCCTGAGTATCGTGTTCGTAAGTACACCACTTTACTAGAATCTTCCGGCTATCTCACGTATACAGCAACCATCGTTCCCGCCTCGATATTTGTTCCCGTTGGGATTTTTATGACCGGATGGGCTGCACAAGCGCACGTTCACTGGTTTGTCGTTGACATGGTGAGATTTTACTTACCACTTCGAACAGGTATCTTCATATCTCTAATCTGCTACGTTTGCAGGGAATATTTTTCGTCGGAGCTGGCATGATTCTTGCGTTTCAGGCGATACAAGTATACATCGTTGACGTGTTCACACTGTACGCTGCTTCGGGTCAATAACTTCTCGATATTGTAAAGAGTGTGGTCACTGACTGTATCATCATCGCCTTTTCAATAGGTATAGCATCGGTATCGTGTCTTCGTTCTTTCTGCGGTTTTGGATTCCCTTTGTTTGGCAATACGATGTTCGACAGTCTAGGATACGGTAAAGGTAGCACTATCCTAGCGTGCGTCGTAATCGCTGTCGGTTGTCCTGCGTGAGTTTTCAGGTTTACCCTCACGACAAATTTTTCACATTTTTAAAGCCCATGGATTTTGTGGTGTTTCGGGAAAAGGATCAGGTCAGGCAGTAAATTTGCGAAAAAGTCATAAGTGTGTACGTGGGTGTTGGTCAACCATAACTTATAGACCTTGTACTTTTCCATTCACGATATTAATACATACCTGCAAACCAAAAGTACTCATGGAATGTTATATCCAAATTTCAATGCACCAGCTCAATGACTGGCAGTGGTTGTACCGGTTTGGTCTGCAATTTCCTCTCACAAATTTCAAGGCCGTCGTTTCCAAAACATACAGAAAAGCAGTAGAAGAAGAAGTTACAAGGGAAAACGAAATCAAGGAAGGAACATGTCAAGAGTCACACTAGTCCAAGGTCATGAGTCGACGAAGATACAGGTCAGTACCTCGTTTCCTCATGTCGGCGCCATCATTACCTTTGGGACTCTTAGTACTGGCACCATTCTGCATAATAATCAGTGAGGGTGTGGTGGGTTCACTAGTGTATCAACGGACCTCTTCGGTGGAACCATGACCAGAATCAGGGTCAGGTGATTTTTTCTTGGAATCGGTTTTCTTGTCATCCTCGGAATTGCTGCTCTCGTCACCCTTCCCGTTATCACTCCCGTCACCGGTCTCATCACCTTTCCCATCTCCCGTCCCGTCGTCCTCCTTCTTGCCACTGTCCTCATCACCTTTACCCTCTTTCTCACCTTCCCCTTTGTTGGAACTGGTCGAAGAATCTGAACCAGAAGAGTTAGAGGAACTAGAAGAGCCGGTACTGCTGGGAGGAACGCCATCACCGGTAGATGAACTGCCTGCATTGCTAGTCGAACCACTATTGGGGGAACCTGAGGCGCCACCACCCATCACATCGTTTGCTATAGCCGATGATGCTCCTGCGGACCCTCCTGCAGCCATCCCTTGTGCAATCATAGGGGCTAGTTGTGCGAGTGATCCTACCGCCGCGGTTGCCGCAGTGGTCACATCAGCCCCAGTCGGTGGCACTGGTGCTTCTCCCTCGGTTGTTTGAAGATGGTTTAGCTCCTCTTTCTTCTCCGCCGGAGTCTCTTTATGTTCAGGAATTACAGGCTTTGGTTCTTCTTTCTTCGCCTCCCCTCCGTCTTTCTTCTCCTCCTCCTCCTTCTTCTCCGTCGCTTTTTCCAGTTCCAACTTCTTCTCTGCCTCTGTAAGGGGTGCCTGCACGGGCTCCTTCAAGGCACCCACATGAGGGGGTGTAGCCACCGTCTTCGCTGTCACTGCAGGATGGACAGAGTTTGCATTGGCTGCAGCCTTTCGAAGTTTCGCTTTAGCCCTCTGTTTCGCCTTCTTCCTCCGATTCCTATCTGTATTCTTTCCCCAACTGTTCACAACGTTCTTGTTGTGACTGGAACGATTTTGCTGCCCACTTTTTTGCCCCTTCTGCTGTTGTCGTGCCTCTAACTGAGAGTGTTCCCCACTCCTAAGAAATAAAGTCTTGTCATCGAAGGGAGCATCCCGTTCAAGGAAGCCTGCTGCATTGCGAGCAATAACAATGTGACTGTTTCCTCGCGGCTTGGAACCAGTAGGAGCACCCTGCACGGAGAGAGAGATTGCGAGAGTAAGGAAAGGGAAGACAGTGTTCCGAATTAACATTTCGGAATACGTAGGTCGAGAGTGAGTGATTTTCTGGACTTGGAACACTGATGACTCTGAGGAATAGTTGGATAAATTACGCTGTTTACTGTGTATACTCTTCACCGGGCCAGCCGGTGGGGTGAGTCGACGAGAGAGAGGGAAAGAGAAAAGTTACAGGTTTCCGTCGGCATTGCCATTTAACAAGGGGTCTTCGGCTGGCCGGCTAACACTAGCTGATACCTATTAGAAATGTGTGTTCCGTTACTGTAATCTTAAGTAGTGATTGTACAGTACGGTAAACTGGTTGTTCGGGAATCGGACCTAGCCAGTATAATTTAACTATCCTATCCTATCCTATACTTTATTTGGGTACTGTGAATCCCGGCAGGTCCTGTCTGGAAGGATTCTGCCAGTGGATTCAGCCACAATCGGAACCACGATTTTGTCCACTTCACCAGCCTTTCCACAACTTGCAAAGGTCCCAAAGCGGTGGTCTAGGGAGATATCTGATAGGCTGCTTCCATAATCCAACACTGCAAGGAAAGGCTCAAGGTAGCCGGCACAGCGAGGAACAACCGGGGCCCATGTTAGTTCGAACATTGAGCGGCCTGGTGTTTCCCTTCGCAATTATAAGCAATCATGATTCATCAGCCTATAGAGCGTACACTTGGACTTTTGTCTCAAAGGGATCGATATCGTCGGTCCAAATTGACCTGTATCTGCTTAGAATACAGAAAACCCTTTGAGCGACAAGAACATTGATAAATATGATACCTGAATCCGATCGCGTTGTGTCATTCCCTGGTCATTCCCGCCACTCGAGATCAAAGCGGTACTTACTGACACTCTTGCAAGAAGCGACTCTAAGCGACCCCGCCCGAGCCCAATTACTTATAGATAACAATGCACGATGGGAATACACGCTAATCCTACATCATGCCAGACTTTGCCAGTGTGAAGGCTTGATTGAAAATTCTGTCCCTCTGAGGCATCACATTCTGCCAATCTACATATCAATGAGCTCAATATCCTCGGGGCTGTATACAGCTGTATATAAGTATTGGAAAATGCCCGGAGGCCAGATGAATACATAGAGGGTGTTTCAGAAAGTGATTGGTTCTCTCTGGCCCTCTGAGATATTTTCGCGTGTCGCATCAGTCGCTCTATATGGAGAACGAGCTGTTTTACGGCTTTGCACATGCAGTACACTGCACAGCGTATACGCAGTGAACAGACGACGCCACAGATACGACGGCTTACGGCGGAGGAGAATCACTTTAGACACTTGGCTGGGCACAGAACTTGTACCCCCCGTATCTACGACGAACGTCTGTACTGTACATTTTTGTTAGACCCATGTGAAAGCCAGTCATTCTAAATATTACATCCGAAAGTACTACTCGAGATACATCAACGAGCATTTCACCTAACGGTTAAACAATAATGCATAAAACGCCCAGTCACCTCAACTCAACAGGCGGAATCCACTCTGGAACACCACCCTCGCCCCAATCAAACCGATCTCTTTTGAAAACCTCAACAACGGCCTTTGGCAAGACACTTTCAAGATAATTTGGAGGCAATTGGGAATCATACGGTGTTTTACCAGGTCGGAATAATTTCCGCAAGTGAGGTGCATCGAAATTTGGTTTGGAATCGGTCAAATTGCTTGAGGTGTTGGTGGTGTTGCTTAAGGGAGTACTGGAACCGAAGGCTCCACCTCCTCCTGATCCGAAACCTCCTCCAGCGGACTGAGTCCCAAATGCACTAGTGCTGTTCGTAGTAGCAGTAGTACCGAATGCGCCGAATGCTGAAGGCGCAGAGGTAGAACTTGTTAGAGATCCAAAAGCCGATGATGGTTGAGTAAATGCAGGTGTTTGAGCGAATGCAGACGTAGTGTTTGTCGATGGTTGGCCAAAGACGGAAGTCGGATTTGATGTAGAGGGAGCTGGTTGTCCAAATACTGACGTCGATGATGCAGGTTGCCCAAATGCCGACGTCGATGCTGTTGATGCAGGCTGGCTAAAAGCTCCAAATGTAGTGGAAGGTGCAGCAGGTGCCAGAGCGCCGAAAGCAGATGTTGGGGCCGCCGGCGGTGCGGAATTGCTACCAAAAGCATTACCACCTGTGCTAGAGGCTCCAAATGCAGACGGCTGGCCGAATGCTGAACCGCTTGTATTTGTGGAGCTAGTGCCGGAGAAGGTAGATGGCTGTGAATTGGCAAAGGCTGCGAATCCTCCGCCAGACCCACTCCCTGAAGGAGCACCTGAACCGAATGCACTGGGTCCGCTATTTGCAAATGCAGCGAACGCGCCCCCGGAGATGGCAGGCTTAATCAGAGAGGATGTGGGTGTGCTCGTTTGACCGAAAGCAGAAGTTGTAGCTGTAGCAGGGGCACCGAACGCTGAAGTTGTTGAGGTAGCAGGAGAACTACCAAAAGTAGATGATTGTCCAAATGCCGAGGTTGTCGTAGTGCTAGGAGTACCAAATACAGACGAAGTGTTCGTTGTAGAAGGCGTTCCGCCAAACGCGGTAGAACTTGGTTGACCAAACGTCGAAGTACCAAACACCGACGTCGGGGGTTTTCCAAACGGTGAATTATTGTTGTTAGCACCGAAAGCGGAAGGCTGACCGAACGCTGATGTCGTAGCTGTCGTCGACGGGGTGGCGAACGCAGAAGTGGAAGAATTTTTGTTCATCAGAGAGCTGAACGCTCCGTTGTTAACACTACCAGTAGCCAACGCAGGTGCAGAGTTCGATGTGCCGAAAACAGAATTCGAGTTTGCGGAAGCACCAAAGATCGAGGGCGTAGATACTGATGATGGGCCGAAAGCACTCTGGCTACCGAATGCTCCATTGGACGAAGACGAAGACGCAAACGGAGAGGATGAGGAGGAAGGAAAAGCGGAAGAAGAGGCACCAGTTGTGGAACCAACGACGCTGCTCTGTTTGACGGCTTGAGTATACAGCGTTTGAATATTATTTCGCGCGTTCTGTTAACAGAGAAAGGCTTTTAATCATTCTTCAATCGACTTCCGGTAAAATGAAGGACAGACGCACATTGAAAGCATTATCAGCCTGTGAAATTTGGGTTGCCTCGTATTGAATGTACCCATTAAGATTGTTCTGTACTTTAGCCTCCCATGCTTTGACCCTGAGTTCCTCTGGACAAGCATCGAGTCCTACCACGATGACTGGTTCGTACTTGGCTGGACCATAGGAAGACAAAGGCCACAAAGGCTTTTCTTTTCCTAGCGTGATATCGGAGGAGAGCGATTCTGAGCTGTAGCGTAGGATTTTTGAGGATTGTTGTTTTATCTGAATGATAAAGACACGTACGAGAACAGACCAGCACTGTTCTTAACACCGGTATCACTACCGCTAGCGGAATTGACCCAGGTCTGATCTACGAAGCGATAAGGAATTGCTTATTGCTATGTAAGGCAAAGTACACACTACCACTCTGAGGATGTTCATTTCGACATTTGTCTCCAAAGCGACACTGACCTCGAAGGAAGTAGCTACAGACGACCTGAACAAAGTGGATCAGAGAGAGAGAAGAAACATTCAAAGATTGAATATACCATTTGTTGTTGAGTCTTGACCGACAACTTCAGGATCAGTTTCAGGCCATTCGAATTTTATGTAAGCACCTGCGCTCTTATAGAAATACTGTACAACTTGAACTACATACAACAATCGTAGTATGCTATCGTTACAAAAATGTCCTTCCCCCCTCTGCTTCCCTTAGGAAAGCACCTGGTGAAATTATAGCTCGATATCCCTCTTTGTGGACTGCGCGAAATCAGGAGGTTCGTGAACAACATTTGAATAATGAGTAGAAAACGACAAACCCCAAACTGTATGCCATCCAGACTTGAACTCTCCGATCCTGAACTCTCCAATCCCGAACTCTCCGATGATTCTCCTTCGCTTCCGACTGATGTGAATGCGCTCTTTGATGATTTTGCTAAACTGTCTATTCCATATATACCTGCACCCAGTAATCCTAAACCAGCCACAGCCGATATGCCACCAACAACGTTTCTCAACTTCTGTTTCCCTTTTTTCTTCTCTTTTTCCTTGTCTTCCTTTTCCTTTTCCTTATCCTCCTCCTCTTTCGACTCCCCCACCCCATCCGCCGGTTGATGCGGCACTGGATCACAATGAGTGCCATACATATGGTCATGTTCATATGGGTCGATAGAACTCTCGCTTGAAGAAGAACCATGCGAAGAACAGCTAGTCTGGCTGGACGTCGAAGAATGGGAAGAAGTCGAAGAAATCGAAGAGCCCGTGTTGACACGACTCAGCCCACCAGGCTTAGGTTCGTGGTTAGAGGAAGCAGTGATCGCTGCTGAACCTGGCTCCTTCTCCTTCTCCTTCCCCTTCACGTCCGAGACCCCAGAGTTAGAGGGGCCAGCGTGAGTATTACCATTAGCTTCGCTCGCAGGCTGAGGTTTCTTCGGCAGTACTTGGGCGGCCTCCGCTTTGCCGCCATTAGGAGCAGCTTCCTTGTTCCCTTCGGTGACAGGCACCCCTTGCCCTTCAGAGGTCGTGTTAATCTGGCCTCCCCCTGCCTTTGCCTGCTGTTGCTGCTTCCTCTGCTTCTTCCTCTGTTTATTCTTCTTCTTAGCCCTGCGTTCAACGGTCCGACTCCGCAGTTGAGAATCCACCTTAAAGTCCACATCGACATGGGACTGTGCCTCCAACAAGTCTGGTGTCGGTGATGCACGTCGCATGTGGAGAACGTTGGTGTCTGACGCGCGAGCGCCTAACGGATGGAGCACTGGAGCCGCGTTTGAAGCGAGGGTAACCGCGAGAGCGATGAAGGGGATAAGTGTGCGATGAGATCGCATCGTGGTGGTGAGTCGGTCGACGACGTGATTGCGTGTGGCAAGCTGCTATCTAGTTCGATTCAAAAGAAGCGACGATGGGATGGAAAAAAGCAAGAGGGAAAAACGAGAGGAGTGGTAGAGACAGTTTCGTTGTCTCTGAAGATTGCGTTGAATTCGTTATGAGAGTCGAAAAAAAAACTGTCGAATGGTTCACCGGACCAGCCGATAGAACTTGGGACAACGAGATGGGGGGTGTTCAGGTTGAATAAGAGCCCCGGGCTGTAAAAGAATGTCATCCAACGGGAGATCTTATAAGTTTCCGGACATTCCGAATACATGTTCCATACGGAGTCTTGTTCCACATGACCGAATGATTTACCTCATCAGTTTCGAAACCCGATTATCTGATACACAATGGTCAACACAGCGCAACTGCGCATTGAATCCTGTGCGTAGAAGATGGAATTGGAAAATGAGGAACGGTAAGTCCTTATAGGCTGGAAGTTCATACGCTATCGCAGGGGGGCCGGTATCTCCATCTGTGAAACCTGAGTACTTCGTCCTACTTCGTCACTTCCGAAAATTCTGTCGAAATACATGTCGTGCTCAACCGCGTTGAATAACAGTGGAACAACCATTATTTTTACTCTATCCTCACCTACTGTGACTCTTGTCTTACTTATATCCTCTCCCCCCACAACCTTACCATGCGCAATCAACACTGCATTCATGATGGGAAATCTCGGCTCGGTCTTCGACGCGAAATCTGGCGGAATTTCTTGGTAAGATTTCTCCCTATCGCTGGAAAGGATGACAAGAAATCCACTTAGCTTGTCCTCTCTCGCCTACTTTATACCCTCTTATGCCTCATGCTCATTGAGAAAGATCAAGAAGCAAACGGGAAGCTGGGAAGAGCGGGAAGATGTATGCGGGGCAACCGCTGGCAATCGACGCTTGTCCTTCAAACGTCCGTCGGACGAGTTCAAATTTCATTTTGAACCTCCAACTCCACTTTGTGATGCACAACCGAGCCGCAAAGCACTGTTCAACTCCTCTTTTTTGAAATCCTGTTTCTGAAGTTTTCTCGGACCTCCATGGAGTTTCTTTACTTGTACTAAACTACAGTCTGCAGGGAGAGAGAAAACGCGCCTACATCACATATATTCTTCGATTTTCACGATACAGCAGGCCGGTCTCAAAGAAATCATGATAACGACGTATCGTCTCGTATCGTCCTCTATAACAGAAAGGTTAATCCTATCTCGGGCTTTGGACAGCTCTGGACCTCAACGATGTCTGATGTTGCACGGATAGGATAGGATAGGATATGAATTATGTATCGCAACTCGGCTGAGAGCCCAGGAGCGCTCTGATGCCAGTGAATTTACAGTGAGCTATTTTTCGGTTATTATTGAAGGGAAGGATAAAAAAGCTTGACCGGGGCCCATGCAGCTACCACGCACGCATTGCGCTTAGTCGGTATCATTGTGTGTCCATGCCACGTATGTGTTCTTATGTGTTAGATATGTACATTGCATGTGCAAGCTCATATAGTGGCAAAGCGCAGCATCGCCCTTGAACTTGATTCCATTTCTGCTTTCTTGGAACGATGTAAAATATTACCAATGACCATGTTCTATGAGTAGCACCCATCCAAGAGCACATTTTTATATCCCTCGTGAACCTTCTGGCTACTAAGCGACTCGATTAATTCCAAAGGGTGAACCAATGACTTGGTTCTTCCATTTTGCAAGCTTCTTGAGGACAACTGGCTCTAGGAATTTGATCGCCAGGTCGCGTTGTTGGACGTATTCGGAATGTTGAAAGGACGCCTGCAATTGCAATATTCCTGAATCCCAACTGCAGGCTCGTTACTTATCATTATGGACTTGGGGCCTCTCCGAGTCTGACAGTAGCTCTTAAGAGCCGGCGTCTTTGAGACTCCCCTTATCATGTATCTACATCATAGTGAACCGGAGTCTGATATGAATGTTCAATTTACTCTAATGTAATAGTTTTACAACACACGGCTAGCTTTGGATGGAATTCTGAGGAGAGCTCGTTGGTCTCAATTGCACTTCTTACCTTGCTTGCAGTGGACATTGAACCATCCAAGCGCCCATGCAGAATTTCGTTTTAAAGTTGTCTCTGTCCATTCCGACGGCGGAGCAAAGTCACATTTACGCCTTATCAGGCAAAAGGGCTCCGGATGCAGGCATCATGCAGCCCTTTTGAAGCCTTTTGATTCAAGGGTGACTCCGACTCTAACCCTGTCCAACCCTGTCCCACAACAGCCTAGAACAGCCTCAGACAGCATCCCTCAAGGACCTTGGAGGCTCCTGCGAAACTCCACCCGCCTCTACCCGCTCAGGTGGCCTGAAATACACGACGATTTTGGCTTGAAGTATGCTAATTCGGATGGGCAGGAGCTTCCGGGGTCCTCTCCTTCTCTATATTGCATCGTCCCTAAGCTTTTCCGCTTGCTAAGGCTTGCTATTTCTATTTTACACTAACTTCCCCAGTGCCTCAAGTCTCCTGTTCTACAATCTTTGCTTAATATCTTATGCTTGTGTGAAGTTACAAATTTCATGAAGTCAGACTGATCGAAGAACACAATGCAAGCAAGGTGTATGCAAACGGGGCATGTTAATACTTCATTTGCTTTCATTTGTTGGCTATTACTAGAGATTCTATAACCATTTGCGTCCATTGAAGTCTATTCAAATTGACAGATTTTGAACCACCCCCTCTGACAGCTTTACAGAAGCAATCGTGCAGCAACCTAGGTAATCAAAGCTTAGAAGTTGAGATTGTTTTATTAGTATGAAGCTTTCGATTCATTTGACGCGCAACGCGACGCGTCGTCAATTGAAGCACGTGGGTTATTCTGACTTAATGTCGTTGATGAGCCAAACAAGTGACCAAACAGGACCCTAAATTTGTTTCTTTGTTGAACGACGACCAACGACGACAAAACAAAGCCGATCATAATCTTCGGGATAGACTCGGGGCTTACCTTTGACTTTGAACTGTGTTTCAAAATTTCCCACATCTCTGGCACAAGGGCCAGTCCCAAACGATATGCCGCGTCAATCTCGTTCCTTTGCATCGTCTGCGAATTCATCAGATAACGAGTCTCTGAAGGAAAATCACGTCAACGGATTTAACAGGGTGAAAATGGAGAAATTAAAGCAGCAACAAACTAAAGTGAAAGAAGAAAATGCCAGGAGGGCTAGGGCTCGCGTCGAGGAGCAAGAACGCGGTGATGGACTGGATGTTGACGCCGACGCCGATACGGATGAGGAAGAGGATTTTGATAATCAAGGCAGTGGCTCTCCCAAAGGCCGAAAGCGCGCGCGTGCAAATACAGACGGTGACTCAAGGCCTTCTCAATTTCAGGATGGCACTTCCTGTGCTCCGCGCTCGGTTACGCTCCCCAGGGACCCAAAAGACAAGTGCGTTGTTCTTGTATTCCATCACAGACGCAACCACTCACTTGAGATCATACATATCAGCTTTATACCTGGTTCCATAGTCCGCATTCAACTCCGCAATTTCGTGACCTACGACTATGTTGAGTTTCGCCCTGGTCCATACTTAAATATGATCATAGGACCTAATGGCACGGGAAAAAGTAGCATTGCCTGTGCCATTGCGTTGGGGTTGAATTTTTCACCTAAAGTGCGGCTATTTAAATTGAATCCTTTCACTCTGGTCGAATCAGTAATGTTCCCGTCTTAGGTCCTCGGTCGTGCCGATGAAGTTAGTGCCTACGTTAAGAACGGTACTCCTGACGGCCATATCGAAATCGAGCTCAAAACTCCTGCTGGCAAGCCCAATCTCGTCATCCATCGAAAATTGGTTGCATATAGCAAGTCCTCTACGTTCATGTTGAATGGCAAGAATGCTACAGGAAAAGAAGTCAGTCAGCGTATGGCTGAGTTGGGGGTCCAAGTCGGAAACCTATGGTTAGTCGACGATTTGATGATTTCCATCCTCACAAACTGTGTATATTAACTGTTTAACTCTCAGCTCTTTTCTTCCTCAAGATAAAGTTTCTGAATTCGCCATGATGACCCCTCAACAGCTGCTGAAAGAAACCCAAAAGGCAGCTGGTGACACCAATCTTACAAGCTGGCATGAAACCCTGATCGAGGCTGGCAAGGAGAGTAGTTTAATTAAGGAGGTAGGTGATCCTTCTCACCAGCATGAGAAGGCACACTGATATCACCCCAGAAAGTTGCATCCGAACAGTCACAACTCACTCAAATGAATGCCCGTAACGCCGCTATTGAGCATGATGTTGAGCGTTATCACGAACGACGCAAGATAGAAGACATGATAAAAATACTCGAAGTCTACATACCGTGTGCGAGTTATAGAGAGTTGCTAGCTCGGTATGTTTTTCCTGCCATTGTTCTCAGTTTGATGTTCTAATCGAACATGTTTCTTGTTTTTTGCATCGATTAATCTATTAATTGTATAAGCTACCACGAATTGAAGGTAGTCCAACGCAAGATGCATCAGAAAGTTCTTCGATTGAAAGCAAAGAATGAGCCAGCACATGAATTATTGAAGTAAGCTTACTCGTTCTCACCTCAGCTCATGGTCATCACATTGATTCTATCACCGGAAGCGTTCTCAAATCTGATCTCAAAGAGAGAGAACGCACCCGGGAGACGCGCAAAAGAGACACTCAAAAGCTTTTCCGCGAGATGCAACAAATGTACGACAGTAATGAAAAGATGGTTAGTCCTGCTATTTGGGAGACGGGATTTCTACTCACGTAATACTCGCCGATCTCCTATTCAGGAGAATCATGCCGACACACTTCAGTCAAAGCTTGAACACCTTGTGCAGGCCGAAAGGGATCGCCAAAGACAAATCCGCGATTTGGAAGGAAAGATCCAACGAATGGAGGCAGAGTATAATCAACCCTTGCCGGATGAAGTGGTAGTGGTGTTAGAAGACAAGAATGGAGCTATCAAGAGACAGAAGGTGAGTGCCCTTAACCTTCTCACTGAGTTTCCTGACAGGATGTTTTGAAGCTGGAGCTTGTCCGTGAACGTAACGACATACGTAGTCGCCGTGGAGAATGTGACAGCAGGTTGAGAGAAAAATTGGAGGAGAAGGCAGTAATAATGAGAAAAATTGAGCAGGCCCAGAGAAAGTCTGTTGTTTACTTTTTACATTACTGACGTTCCCTTGCTCATTGCTCTCACTTCAGTCTCCACCAACTTGACTCGGCGGACCATCAGAAGCTCCAGCGATTGGCACAATTTAACCAAGATACGGCTGATGCAGTTGTTTGGCTTAGATCCAACAAGCATCGCTTCAAAAAGGATATCATTGAACCAGCGATTTTGACGCTCACTGTACCCAACATACGTTACGCACCGGCAGTGGAGAGTGTTATGAGCGGAGATAGGTTCAAGGTAATTTGGAATTGCTCTCCTCAAGCGAAACTGACCCGTTACTACCCAGACTTTTGTTGCTCAATGCCGAGAGGATTATGATCTCCTTAACGAACTTGTCAACGATCAAGGTGCGCTCGGGCGAAAGGCTTGGATCTCGACGTGGTTTCGGGACCCTGACACTACACAACTTGTTGAACCACCAATGACGCCAGAGGAACTTCAAACCCTGCATTTTGATGGTTATCTCTCTGATTTTGTCTCCTGTCCCCCGGGCATGTTGTGGTTCTTAAAGAACGACATATCATTACATAGAATTGTTAGTCTGCTCTTTTTCGTAGCCCTCATCTACTAATCTTTCACTGCAGGCGGTAACTCTCAATAACAATAGTGTCGATGTTAACAGAGCTACGCAAGCGGTCGCGCGCTCCGGTGGAGCAACCTTCATTGTCGGGTCTGTCATCAACAATGTTTCCCGATCTCGATACGGTAGGAAGGCTGTATCAAACGTGACGAGGGAGGTCAGGCCAGCAAAACTGTTGGCAAATCATGGTGGTGAGTCGCAATCCGTTCCTATATCCTCGCCGTGGACTTTGACCCTAATATACGTGTTTTCCTTACAGTCGACGCTGACGCTAAACGTCGCTTTGAGTCGGAGATTGTACAGCACAAGGTTGACGTGGCTGCGCACGATGAAGAGATCGGACGGTTCAAAGAAGAGGAAAGGAAGATCGAAGCCGAAGCTAAAGAACATGATAAACGGGGAGTGAGTACTCCCAATCCCTGCATTGGCACGTTGATTCATTTCTTCTGTTGTATCAACTAGGCAGCTATTCAAGATCGCACAGACGCTGCACAGAGGGCTCGCGCGTTAAAAGAAAAGCTGAATTTGGCCATTGGTATGCATTATCTACACTTCGTCGATCCAAAATTACAATGAAGTACTGACGGCGCATTTTTGCAGCACGAGAAAAGATCATGCTCAGACAGAAGCGTGCAGCGCCTTCTGCAGATCAGGAGCGTGAAGACATCCGCGCTGAGTTGGTCGGTGTCGCAAAAAAGAGGGTCAAAGTTGTCAAGGATTATTTGGTTCGTCTGATTCTTTTGCTTGTCTCCCATAGTTCCTGAAATATGTCAATCATAGGCTATTGCCAAGAAAGTCGTGGTTGAGCAGCAAGAAACAACCCGAATTGGGCTGGAGTACCTTCAGATAAGTGCCAATCGTGCCTTTTTAGACGAATTGTGCAAGAGGAAGGATGAGAAGTATAATAAGGCGATGGAGGAATTTGCTGAAAGTTTGTCTCTTGCTTGCCTTCTAAACAAAACCTACTCAAGAATGTCAATCAGTCGACGCGGAATACAACGACGCGAAGAAACACTCCAAGGACGCCCTGAACGAGTCCCGTGATGCGCTCAATAACACTACCGATGTAATTCGCGAACATTACCATGAGGCACTGGCCAAACGCACAGAATACGAGAATGCACTCCAAACTGCGGAAAGCAACGGGACTTCTCCACCCTCGGCAGAAGGTGTGGATTTACGCACGGCAGATGACTACCGGGCGGAGCTTGAATCGCAGGAGGCGCAGTTGGAATTGGTGAGCAAGACACAGCCCGGTGTTATTGAGCAGTATGAAAAGAGGAAGAGGGATGTGAGTAGTTCACCATTCTATATGTAATGCCGATACTCATAAGGACGTGGTCGTAGATTGAACAATTGGAGAAGACCTTAGAAGAAAGGCAGCGCAATGCTGCCAAAGTCGAACGCAGTATCCAGCTGACCTTGGTACATATCTCTATCTTCAAAACTTGTCAATGACCGACTGGCCTTTTTAGGATCACTGGAAGCCCGCTTTGGAAAAACTCATTGGGAGCATTGGACAAAAGTTTTCAGCTGCGTTTGACCGTATGTCTTTGGTCTTTGTATCACTTGGCTCTAATCAAAGAACAAATGTTGCTTCCCCCCTTCAGGTATTGGTTGCGCAGGTGAAATCCACATCAGTGAGAATGAAGATTACGACAAGTGGGCAATTGACATCCTTGTCAAATTTCGTGATGAAGAGAAGCTGCAGTTGCTTACTGGACAGAGGCAGTCCGGAGGGGTATGCCAATTTTAAAGGACCGTCCGCATCTACTGTCATGCTAATCGTCTCCTAGGAACGTTCTCTAACGACCATTCTATACTTAATGAGTTTGACTGAAGAAGCCCGTGCTCCATTCTCGTTGGTCGACGAAATCAATCAGGTGAGTTGCCCCTGCTCCGCTGTCACGACTGCTACTCATGCGTGTACTACAGGGAATGGACCAACGCGCTGAACGCGTCGTGCATGATAACATGGTCGACGTCACTTGCAAAGACGACTCGGCTCAATACTTCCTGATTACGCCTAAACTCCTACCTGACCTAAAATACCACGAACGAATGAAAATCTTGTGCGTCAACAACGGTGAATGGCTTCCAGAGGAGACGAAAGTAGGCAACTTGATGAATCTGATCGAGGGGTTTCTCTCGACAAGGAGGAACACAACTGCGAATGGACACTAGATCGATTATTGATCATCCTTTAACTTCTTGTTCACTTGCTGGTGTCCCTTCGTGTTCCTCGGTCGCAAACCTTTGATTTGTTTCCCACAGCTTATTATATTTGTTAACTTATATTTTCGCTCATAACTCGGACCGTACTTATGCCTTCCTCTCTCTTCAGACCAGTATTATAGATGTTTGCTACTTACCATAACACCCCAACAAATAGTCCATAAACATATTGTATTCGATAAATATATCCTATTTCTTGCTTGTCCATGGTCAAATAATATGCCATATTCAACTACTTTATATACATACATACACGCCTCGAGTTTACAAGAAGAGCTACAAGAAAGGTGAAGTAGTATCAATGCTACTGTTGTATATATGTTATTTTGCCGATCGCATCGTTTGGAAAAAATCATTGAGAACGTAAACACGGTGTGCTAGTAGTCTAGAATAGTGTCCTCGCAATCATATTGTGGGCAATGAGATACGGATCCTTCTGTGGAGCAGGTTGCCAGAGCTCCTCAGATCCACGGTCGACAAGCTGCTGCAACGGAGATCGAGGCGAACGTTGAAAAGAACACAAGGATGAAGACCTTCTAAACGAAGATGACATATTAGAGCAGGTGTTGACGCCCACGTTCTCCGATCGTGAGAAGGAACGCAGCTTTCTTAGCTGCGAGCTCGGGGGAGAGGTCAAATTTAAGGCAGGATAGATGGTAGAAGCGGAGGTAGTTGGGATAGTGGTAAAGTTAGTACAGGATTCAGGTGATTCAAGGATAGGATACATATGTCGTTTCGTGAAGTGGTGATCTTTCGATGATAGGAGTGGTTTCAAACAGATAGAGGTTCGGCGCTGATGAATTGTGACCACGTCCAGTAGCTCAGCAGCTAAGCCTGACGCGACACCTGGAGCCTGCCCTAGCACCTGGGCAGACATCTTAGGCAATAGGATTGAACCACTGCCATGCTGTGTTGAAGTTACTAGACGGATAGTTGCTTCGGATGACGGAACTGTAGTAACGGAAGTAGCACCACCGTTATTTACTCGGGCACTAGGACCTCGATTCCGAGTAGAGGGGTGTCCGTTGCCAAGTCCAGAAAGAGATCGGCGTTTTGCAGAAACCGGTTTAAAGGATGAAGATGAATCAGACGGACTTGCGGGAGGCGAACCCAAAGGCAGTTTCAACCCCAATCCAACTAGTCCTTTCTCCTTCGCAGTCTGGTCCGACGAATGGAGTGGCCTTATTATTTCGATAGAGGGTGCAGAGTTTCGAGAACAAGGTCCAGACTTCCCAGGAAGACGGAGACCTAAACCAAGAGGCTTCTGTGTTGTTTTGCGCAACACCGTTCCCCGATGGATTCGGTCGTTAATGTTCACTATAGGAGAAGAAATGGCGTCGACTGAAGAGCTTGAGGAAGAAGGATAGATATCCCAGAACAAATGGGGGATAGGATCAGAAGACGACCTTGGAGAGGGAAGAGCGACTATGGGCGAAGGTGAATTTAGGTCTAGAAACTGGGGACGCAGTACAGGCTTTGTCAGTGGGTTTAACCCGAGATTCTGCCCGATATTTTCAGTCATAGCAGGAGAGAGGAGTATCGAGAGCTCTGATTCCTCTTGCTTTAACGACTAGAAATCTCGATAAAAAATAAGGATTAGAAGAATAAATCTTGTCTACCTCAGTCCCTTGGCCTGATCTCGTTTTTGACCTCACGAGCTTCTTCTTCTTATTCTTCAATAGAATAAATCGGGCGACAGACTCCTCGCCGTCCGATTCTTCAGCTTCATATCCAGCTTCATCTGCTGCTGCTGCAGGAGACTCGACCTTCAGAAGTCCTTGACTGTGCTGCGGGACTGGGAGAGAGGCGTTGGATGCGTTTAACGTGGGCGTTTTGAGTCTTCCTTTGCACGATGATTCCCAAGATTCGTCGTACTCGACGAGCAACTTTCGCTTATCAGGACTATCTTCTTCCTCGTCCTCATTCAAGGGCGAAGTTGGAGGCGAAATATCCGTCTGCGAGGAGCTAGAGCTGAAAAGGCAGCTATTGTCAAAGAGCGAGGACGTAGACGTGGACGAAGATATAGATGAAGATGAAGCGGAAGACAAGGCCAGCGTGTCAAGATTGTTTGGGATGGATAGAAAAGTAGACATGTTCGAAAAAAAGAAGAAAAAGTGGAGAAAAAGATGTAGAAAAGGATAGATGTGAAGCTTGAGAGCTGATAGTGGTGGCTAGAAGGAGAGCAACGGCGAGATCTAAATTAGTAATTATCGACCAACTTCGACGCGACGTAACACCCCACGTGACGGCGTCACCCTCCTTCCGCTTTCTTCGACCACAGATTCAGAATGTAATGAAATTTTTCCCAGCGATTCCGAATCGGAAAGATACGCCGGATGCTAGAAAGATACTCCTTCCTCTTTTACCGTCTAAGTTCTTAGTAAGTGCCTTCCTCCGATAACAACGTCTTCACTTGCTGACTACAGTACTCCTCGCCAAAACTCTTCCGGTGTCACTCCGAATATATATGAAATTTGACTCATCTGGTTGAACTCCACTATAAAAGGTAGGGGACGATGCGATCTGCATCCTCACATTCCAACTACGTATTATTCCTCTCCACCCAAGGTTAGCATCTCGCGGTGGAAACATCTGACATGTATTGACCCCCGCATCTTTGAATCAATAGATGTCTAAAGAGATCAAAGCTTGGGGTGCTACCTCCCCTCAGAGGACAGAACCAATGACCATAACTCGTCGTGCACCAGACGACGAAGACGTCGCTATCGATATTAAATTCGCTGGGATCTGTCACTCCGACATCCATACAGCCCGCAACGAATGGGGAAGGACCACATACCCTCAGGTCGTCGGACACGAAATCGCTGGAGTTGTCAATGCCGTAGGCAAAAATGTCACCAAGTTCAAAGTTGGTGACCACGTCGGAATTGGCTGCATGGTGAACAGCTGTCGCCAATGTGCCAATTGCGTGGACGGCGAGGAGCAATACTGCACCTCTGGTTTGGTCTTGACATACAATTCGACGGATCCCAAAGACGGGTCAATTACGCAGGGCGGCTATTCGCAATACATCGTGGTGGATCAGGCTTTTGTGCTGAGTGTCCCAGAAAGCATTCCATTGGATAAGGCGGCCCCGTTAATGTGTGCGGGTATAACATTGTACTCGCCACTGAATCATTGGAATGCTGGGCCAGGCAAGAGGGTGGGCATCATTGGATTTGGTGGCCTAGGGCATATGGGTGTCAAACTCGCAAAGTGAGCGATTTGATTCCTGTAGTTAAGTCTATACATAAGCCTAATACTCGCGCCTGTCCCTATAGAGCACTAGGGTCTGAAGTGACCGTGTTTTCTCAAACCAATAGCAAAAAAGAGTTGGGACTCCGGTTTGGAGCAGACGACTACGTCGCAACGAGCGAGCCCGACGCTTTTTCCAAACTCAGTCAAAGATTTGACATCATCATTAATACTGTTTCCGCTAAAATTCCTCTCGATCTATACCTTTCTTGTCTCCGCCGCGATGGTACTCTCATTCAAGTTGGGGCTCCTGAGGACCAATTGCAGATTTCCCCTTCCAGCCTGTATGCTCATCGAGTCGGAGTCCACGGGTCAATGATTGGCGGGATTGCAGAGACGCAGAAGATGTTGGATTTGTGTGGAGAGAAGCAGATTTTCCCAGAAATTGAGACTATTCCGGCGTCATATATCAATGAGGCGTATGAGAGAGTCATGAAGTCAGATGTCAAATTTAGATTTGTGATCGATGTGTCGACTATGTAGAGTAAATGGTACTACGAATCTTCGATGGTTTATTTCTAAAGTCTCTGCGAAGGCGTACAAAGTATTAGGACGGTTTGTATCACTATTTCTGCTTAGTATCGAATATGGTCGTCGTGGCTGCGGCAGAGTGCAATTCGATTATTGACCTTCTCAATCTGCAAGACATATACATGAATTTCTCGAAAGTAATGCACGAATCAACGTCGCACCTGAGTTGCTCCATGTAGTATTCCCGCAACTCTCTGTATCGCAGCAGACGATGGCGTTTATGGAGAAGGGTCAACATCAAACAAGTTGCCACCATTGCTGTTTGAAGGCTGTCAGGAACCGATGATTTTATGTATACGATATGACGGGGTAAATTACCTCCAAGAATACACATTGCTGTAACCGCATATTGCCAGGGCGCAACACGGAGAGGAGTTTCTGGGGGCACCGCACAAATGCCTACAACACAGTTGCGCTAGACGAGTATGAATTTGGGATTGAAAAGACGTTATGAACACTCACTTCTTCACATTCTTGATCAATTTGACAAGGCGACCCCAAAGATTTACTCTGCTCGCAGAGCAAGCTATCCTGGCCACAGTACAAGTCGGGTGAATGACAGTTATCCCGAATTACAACGGTAGTGTATAGTTGTCCATTCAGTCCGACATCCGTATACGTAGTGTTGTCGATAATGCAAGGAGTACCTATTGTCGCATTCGCATACCTGATTGTGAAAGGAATTCTACAGGATGTTTTCAAAAGGCAATGGAGGATCCGCCGTACATGCATATAGAGTGTAAGCAGATTGAACCATAAAAGTTTTCTGAGCTTGAAAAGTCTTGCCAGTTGACTGCACGAGCACATTGTTCATCCCTGTTCATCTGGCAGGCGCCACCTGGGTTCACTTGAGTTCTACATCCATTCCCTTCGTCAGGGCAGAAGGATCCCGTCAAACACAGAGGAGGCAGAGCATCAGAAGTAGAGTATCCAAAAGGAAATTCGTCTCTTCGACAAGTTCTTGCAAGGCAAGTCCCGTTTTCAGAACCAGAACAGTAAGCGAGGTCGGAGCAGTCAGAGACAAACTTGCGAGTGTTTGAATCGAGATGGTCGCGCGACGTAGAGCAGACTCCGCCAATACCAGTAGATCCAGCATGGCAATATCGAATCATGAGTAAGAGAGCGAGGTTGCCGACAAAGATTGAAAGCATGATGAAAGCACGAGTACGAGCACCACACGCGATTAGCGCTCGAGCGCTCATCTTATCAACATGGCGGCAAGATCACCGACTCTGAAAGAGGAGGTCCTTGTCGGATTCAAATGGTTGTGTTTTGTGAGATCATTTTGCACTATTCATTCGTATGTAATCAATTCATTGCTGTCCATTTTGGTATAAGGTGTGGTGAATAATATCTTTCGGAGAAGCTGTATGATGTATAGGTGTCTTATTGTAGTAACAGTGTGAACCGATTTGGAGTTAGTGCATGTAGTTTGTTTTCTTACGTTGTATAGTTTAACTCTGAATGGTGCGCATACTTTAATGATATTGTTGCTTTTCTGGGCAGAGTACACTTCAGTACTATGTATGTCTATATAACAATGTCCAGGTATTATGACAATACAGGAAAATCAATCTGATCCGGCTTGACCTCCCCTTTGTACTTACATGCGATTGTAGGCCACTGCACCACCATGCATGGCAAAAACTCGGCTCCTTCCTTGTGGGTTATTAAATATTATGGAATCAAAAAACAGGGGCGCCTTTCAGGCGCCGACATTGATTTTCTGAGAAAAGCAGAATAAAAGTAAATTTACTTAAACTATCTATGGAGTAACAGGGAGTAACCGAATGAGACGAGAAAAAGTAATCGTGACAGAGGGTGACAGTCCCGTGATATCCCGTGCCGGTCACATTTAAATGAATGTATTCCAACAGAATGTGACTGAGTACCATATATGGAGAAACTCCTTCCAAGTAAGCAAAGCGAAATAGCATGACGCGACCTACATAAGGACGAGTCTTCCGTAAACTACAGCCTCGTAATTATTATTGTCAACTTGAATGCCAAACTTATCCTGCCAGTGTGGAACCGACCTCTGAACTTACAAATGGAGGTCACTCATTCTTTCATGAATGGATCACTAATCCTACAATGAAGATCTCCAACTCCTTTTCATCCAGTAACTTTGTATATTACAGTGCAATTGCTCATGCTGACAGATAGCCATTGCAGAAAATTCTAGTAGTTTATACAATGCACTAGGTCGACCAACAGTGACCATGACTTAATTCTCAACACCAATTTTGGCCGCACATCAAACACTAGACTGATTCCGAAGTTTCAGTATACTTTGCAAAAATGAAGGAGTTCATTTTTTGCAATCTTGTCATTGATATTCCATGTCAACAGTATAACAAATGTATCTTTAGGCAAAAACAAACTGAAAATTCAACATAAATACATTCTTCAAAATACAAATTACAGACACTGTAAACCGTACCAAAAATCACTACACCACAATGCAAAAGTTTAACAATAACCTCAATCTGTATCTAATCACATATATTCAACAGTTACATACGACCATACTGCATCATATTATTTTCCTCTTGAACATAATTTTGATTTACTTCTATAATCGCGAATAATCAGCATACCTGCTTGTCATGAAACCATTCAGAGTCGGGGATTGCCGTGCCAGCACGGCGCTAAGGATAAGACAGCGTTATCACACGATTCGTTCAAGCTTTCTCGCGCTAACTATGTTCCCTCGACCATTCCCTCCAATCTCCTCCAATGCTTCCTTATATGAATCAGGCGAGCGTTGAACACTTATTGACATTACTCAGTATTTATTCCTCCACCCTTCTTCTATCGTATTCGACCTTCCAAAAATTCAGTTCAAATTCGAACAATAGAATCAGAAAATCTAATTGGGTGCGAGTTATCTGGATTTAAGTTAAGCCAGAAATGCGCACGTCCGCATGAATATTCATCGAGTAAAATTTCCTTCTGTAACACTATGATTATGATTACTCACCAAGGCAGTGAGAGAAAGCCGGCTACAGATGGATGAAATCATTTGTTCTCAGGCAAGTCCCTTCCCCGACAATGGAATCCAATTTTGCTGACTTCAAGACTCAACCGTTATCATTCCGTTACAGTGTAATTCCCCCGGGGTGAGTCGCACATTACACTCACGGCATGAGCGTTCGAAGAAAGTTTTACCGGATTAGTGTTTCCTGGCTTAGAATTCAGTACTTAAGGCAAGGGAACAAGCAGTGAGTTTCATTCCAATAATTCGATTCCCTCCAGAAATTTTGAGTATCTAGACTCATTGTGCCATCGTTAGTACTTCGCCACCTTCATTGAATGCTCCTACACAAATCATGTTTATAGATAAATGTCTAAAGAGGTCAAAGCCTGGGCCGCCACTTCCCCAGAGAAGACAGAACCTATCAGTATCACACGGCGCGCACCAGACGATGAGGACGTCGCTATCGATATCAAGTTCGCCGGGATCTGCCACTCTGACATTCACACAGTTCGCAGCGAATGGGGCAGCACGGCATATCCTCTTGTTGTCGGACATGAGATCGCCGGAGTTGTCAATGCCGTAGGCAAGAACGTTACCAAGTTCCAAGTCGGTGATCACGTCGGAGTCGGTTGCATGGTGAACAGTTGTCGCCAATGCACCAATTGCCAAGACGGCGAAGAGCAGTATTGCCTTTCCGGTGCAGTCCTGACATATAACTCGAGAGATCCCAAAGATGGAACGATCACGCAAGGGGGATATTCGCAGTACCTCGTGGTGGATCAGGCTTTCGTGTTGCGTGTTCCGGAGACTATTCCATTGGACAAGGCGGCCCCGTTGATGTGTGCAGGTATCACTTTGTATTCACCGCTACACCACTGGCATGCCGGGCCTGGAAAGAGGGTGGGCATCATTGGATTTGGTGGTCTAGGTCATATGGGCGTCAAGCTTGCGAAGTAAGCAATTTTATTACCATCCTTGTCCATGAAACTGATGTTCATACTCGCATTGCCCTAAGAGCACTAGGTTCTGAAGTGACCGTGTTTTCTCAAACAAACAGCAAAAAAGAGTTGGGACTACGGCTCGGAGCAGACAACTACGTCGCAACGAGCGAACCCGATGTTTTTTCCAAGCTCAGTCGGAAGTTCGACCTTATAATCAATACCGTTTCAGCTAATATCCCTCTCGAGCTGTACCTCTCATGTCTCTGCCGTGATGGTTCTTTGGTTCAAGTCGGGGCACCAGAGCATCCTTTACAGATCTCTCCATTCAGCCTCGATGCTCAGAGAGTTGGCATTCATGGGTCAATGATTGGTGGGATTGCAGAGACGCAGCAGATGTTAGAATTTTGTGGAGAGAAACAGATTTTCCCAGAGATCGAAACCATCCCTGCGTCGTATATTAATGAGGCTTATGAGAGAGTCATGAAGTCTCAAGTCAAGTTTAGATTTGTGATTGATGTCTCGACGATGTAGAGTGAATATGTAGAATTGTGAAATCAACAATTTCACCCAGACGAGCTAGTGTCAACTCAACGTCATATACTGAATTTTTCGTAGTACTGTACCTACCCGAATTCTCAATGGCATAAATTACCTGCATTACTGTAATACTCATACATCACGGAAAACTCTCTTTCAAGTATTCCAGCGCGCGGGCCCCCTTCTAAGCTCAGTTGCTGAAGTAGGCGCAGGCGGGTGTGAACCTCGTGGAAGACCGTATGTATAGACTATATATGTTGAACTTTCTACCTTCATCGATACGACGGTAGGAAGAAAAGTGCCGAGGCAGGCTCCATAGCCATCCACCCTTGAATCTTACAGTATATCTTACACACGTCTACAGATCGTGGACTCGTGGGTCACTCTTGGTTCAAGGTGTAAAAAATCATAGAAGTAAGTTGTGCAAACGTACTGTGGTTAGCGAACGTGCCCACAACTTCGAACGACTCGTTTCTGGAAGAACACAGTTTCATTGGCAGTTATCATTCACAGCCATGAGAGAGGACACCTACACACTTGTCGGTGCTGTTGCCAGCCCTCGCTTGCTTCAAAATTCGAACGTGTGGGAGCTAAACGTGTCAAAAGCTAAACGACGATATTATGTGGTTTGAGGACTATCTGAGGACTATAAGGGTCTTTGGTTCGAAACTCGCAAAACGCCTGTATAATACACTGCAGAGCTCATTGACGGTGAATAATTAGCTCGTAACTTGCCTTGAATTACTTCAAAGTTTGACCACAAACGTTTGTCAAAGTATAGCTGCTATGGACGTGTATTTCAAAAGCCTCGCGAAGTTCTGCAGCTGCTTCAAAACGCCAGAGGTGAGGCGTTTAGCAACAGCGATGCCGTGACGGTAGTAAAGGAGAAGAAGGCAAATCTGATCGGCTGACCGGCAATCGACTATTATCTTTATTGCCGGAGTTTCGGCATAAACCTATTTGCATTCCTTGGCTTGAAAAACGTCCCCATCGTCCCAAAAAGCAAACATACTTCAAGAGATAAACTGCGACTGCTAATCCGACCAAGTGTCTACATACATGCAAGTCGTCGTTTATTATTGTCGATCACCATCTGTGTTTATGAAAGGACTAAAGACTCCTGTCCGCAGAGACTACTCGGAAAGATGACTGGGGCATTGGGCTATTATGGACTTGGAAGGCTCAACGATCCTTCTCCAGATTGTCAGGTTCTGTCATTTACATACATATAAGAGGCTCTTCTAGTTTCTACGTTCCATTATTTTATTTTATTCCTCCTTTCCGAAGTATAATGGCTACCCAAGGCTTCACCTCGATAGTGAGAACGTCACCTTCGGCGACTGAAAGGACCCCTCTTCTTCAGCATGACATCCCATCATCGCCCGAACTAGGATCGGACTTACCATCTCCAAGTCTCAAGGCACATGAAGACCTCCTTGGTTCTAAGTCAAGGATGGAGCCGTCTCCTCTCCCACAAGCACAACTAATTACACTGTGCCTCGTACGAATAGTCGTACCGATCTCCTTCACACAGATATTCCCGTATATCAATGAGTTCATTGAGTTCTTGGGAGTGACAGATTCGTCACAAATCGGTTTCTTTAGTGGGCTTGTGGTGAGAAAAATTTCAATTATCTTGTCGTACTTAGGATTATCTTGTAGGATGCTGAATTGTGACTCTAGGAATCCAGCTTTGCGATATCGCAGTTGCTTTTCATTTATCATTGGGCTCGATTGTCTGGTAAGCTTTGACTGTTACCCCGCTCACCGGTTCTCATAAACCTATATTCCACAGATAGATTTGGTCGTCGTCCCATTATCATTATTGGTACGCTTGGGGTCGCTGTAATGACCATCGTGTTTGGTCTCGCAAACAGCATCCCCGAACTCATAATTTATCGTTGTCTTGGTGCGAACTTTCCTTAGGTGTTTGCCAGACCTCATGCCGATATCTTCGTATTTTCTATTTTCAGCTGGGTTCTTCGGGGCTACTGCATCGGTTATACACACTGTGTTGGGCGAAATTACAGGTAAGTGGACTTTCAAGCTCTCCTATAATGGTGCTGATTTGTTGTCTTTCTAGACTCAACTAATCAGGCTGCGGCCTTTCCTTTGTACGGGTATGTAAACGATCAATTCTCAGCTTCATAAGTATCTCATAGTACACTGTTGTGTCAGAATTACAGGACCTGTTGGAAGCATCATCGGGTAGGCAAAAGCTTCACAATATTTGCGTTTTTAGTATCACTAATCGTTAGCTCCTTCCGCCTTTCATTTTCTACTACTTCTAGACCTCTTATCGGTGGCTCGCTTTCAAATCCGGCCCAGAAATTCGAACGCATTGACCACGCAGAAGGGCTTTTCAGTCGCATCGTCTCATTTTTCCATCTGCATCCATATTTCCTTCCAGGTCTCGTTTCCGGTATCATATCCTTGATGGGAGTTGCGTTGGCGTATTTTTGTTTGGAAGAGGTAAGTACAAAGGTTCTGATTGTGCATGTTCGTTTTTTACACTGAACTATTATGTTCTTGATAGAGTTTGCCTACTAAACGACGCTTTCCTACTAGTAGTAGTCAAACCGATCCAGAAACATTTGCTGGTGCAAACAACGAATCAGAAGATAATGCTCCGTCGTTTCCTAAGCATCCCTCCGCTCGCATACTCCTCTCTATACCCATTATTCGAGCATTAAGTCTTAGTGGTTTCGCACTCGAAATGAATGGGACTTCTTTTGTGGTTCTCTTCGTGCTATTTTGTTACACGCCTATTGAACAGGGCGGTCTAGCGTTTCCTGTGAGTTTGCACCGAGCTTTTTTGGTATAATTCCAGTAGCCACTCATGCGCACGAACTCTGACTATCTTTTGACTTCACGGCCATGATCCCTTCCCTACCAGCCCTCCGTCATCGGCTATGCTCTCGCATTTACTGGACTGGTGGCTGGTCTTACTCAGTTGTTCCTTATGCCTGTTTTCCTCAGACGCTTCGAAGCAGCCAAGATCTACTCCGTCTGTATGGCTGTATGGCCTCTGGTGTTCCTTATACTTCCATGCCTAAATATCATTGCCCGGTACGGTAGTCATCATGGGCTGAATGGTATGGAGGGGTTGGGTGGAAGTAGTGGACTCGGACAAGACTTTGATCGCGCAGGAGGGCTTACGCCACTAAGCACCCATACAAAAGCAATTCTATGGGTGGGATTCTTTGTCACTTTAACCTTGAGTCGAGTTGGAGGGATTGCATATCCGTAAGTGTGACGATCTTCCGTTTATACAAACATCAGAATGGTTTTCAACAGGGCTAGCATGATCTTAATCAAGAACAACGTTCCTTGTCCAGAGTATCTAGGTTCAACCAATGGACTAGTGCAGTGGTTCATGTGTCTCTCTCGCTGTGTGAGCGCAGCCTTTGCTAGGTGAGCAGCTATTTTTACCTCTTCGTGGGCTACGCGAGCTCATCAACTGCTGTGAATTTAGCTCTGCCTTTGCTTTCTCCGCAAAGTATAATATTATGGGAGGTCATTTCTGGGCCGTCTTGCACGCTTTGATAGCAGTTTTGGGATGGTGGTTGGCTCGTAGCATATCCTTGAATAGTAAAAGCACCTTGAGCTCATAACAACAATTTAATGCATGGTTCGAAACAGGCTTTCAAACCGCCCTATCCTTTTATCCTCGAATACAAGCTTCCATTTCGGTCATATATTTCAGTAGCTGTGATTTTCAAGCAAATACGCGAATCGCCGTCCGAGGATATGGTGAACACCCATGATCTAGGAGCTTGGCTTACCTGACAACTCAGTGAAAAGAACATCTTTTTCCATTCCCTTCTGCTTTCCTTTACGCTCATCCTTGTAATGTTTCGAAATTAAAAACGCCACGTCTAGAACAAGTTGTATGTCAATGTTCATAACAAAGGGGAGCTTTAGCGCACCAAGACTTTGCTCAAAATTGAGCCGAGGATCGCAGAAAGACTGTTGAACAATCAGCGCATTGATTTCAATGATGAGCAGAGCCAATATTACTACACACCTGATATCGTAGCCCAAGTTGCTCTTCACTCAGTTCCATACTTCCCCCGAGACATTCCGTTACACTGAAGCCCTCGTCGTTCAGTTCACCCGTGAACTCCAAGCTCACACCACCGAGACGAGAGTCGCATTCGCTATGTATGCGGATGCAGGATGTGAGTTCATTGATGATGGTACGAAAATGACGGGTTTTGAGGCCAGTATTGGATGTCAAAGTACTATCAGGGGAAGAATTTTTCAGCTGCGCGCATTAAATCATGCACGAGCTACACTCACTTTCCATGCATAGGATCGCATATCCAAACAACTGGATGCAGAGATAATTTGACGGCTTTGATGTGCTCAGGGAGGTAGTTCTCGACCTTTATAGGAGGTGAGGATATAACAGAGCGTCTTCAAGAAGTTACACACTTTACCAGCGCCATATCTTGTGATTAGCGTCACTCTTCCAGGTACTTTGTCCAAGTTAACAACTTCAAGAAAAGAAAGTCTCAGAAGTGGGCAGAATACAGGTTAATAATCATCAACTTACTGTCCAACAATCTCACCAGTTCGTCGCTTTGCATGCTCGGCCCTACTTTGATTCCGATGGGGTTTTTGATTCCCCGAAAATATTCAACATGTCCGCCATCTAGCTGCCTCGTCCGGTCACCAATCCATAAGAAGTGAGCAGATGTGTTGTAGTATGCCTTTTCGTTCGGTACAGAGCTGACGGACTTGGGGACGGGGCACTCGCGGGTTAGAGCTTGCTCGTAATCTAACATCAAGCCCTCATGACTATGTATACGCAAATTACTCATCAGTGCACTCAGTCGAACAAGTGTCTTTACCTGGTATAGAAATCCACTTCTCCAACCGTATTTTTTGCTCCTCCAAGCTCGAAAGAAGCACCCGCATCTTGTCCAATAGTTCGACTGAAATCAAGAGCATCTGTAAGATCTTCCACGATGCTCTCAAACTCATTCCTAGAGGGATAACTCAGTCAACATGTTGAAGCAGAGGTGACACGCCATACCGTAGAGAGGGTGAACGGACGTGGCTCAACGACCAGTCCCGAGGTTGATGTAGAGATGCGAATCCTGATGTGAGGAGTCCACGAACGTGGTTGAGCGTTGTCGCAGAATGGAAATACGCTCTGAACCCAACGCCTCAGTCATTTTCACAATCGCCAATAAATCCATAGACTACCTCAATAGCCGCTCCGGATCCGGCGTCCTATCGTCTATATCTAACCTGACAGGGATTTGCGTGAGGCAATCATCATTGACACGGTAGGGTCAACCAACCCATTGACATTGTCACCTCTATAAGCATTAGAATCCAGCTCTATACAAATTAGATGAAAGAACATGTACCTAAAGCTCAAAACCTCTCGATCTCCCACTTGCTCTGTTTTACTGCTTCTAGGTTTGGCATATTGGCCTGCAATGCGTCCTATACGAACCTATTTCAAGAGTCAAAGCACTGCCAAAAGACGGATTGGACCACTAACGATTGGCAGTCGTGCACCCCAGATGAGAATGAGCGAGAATGACAAGATGAGACCGATCTTGGCAGAAATGTTTTCCTATCGCCATATCCGACAGGATTAGGCATATACTCACTGGCAAAGATTCAACTAGAGCATACACACATTTGTACAGGCATCGAAACTTTCCGCGCAGTCGCCAGCATGTAACAAAAAGGCTTCATTTCGTTGAACAAGGCTTAGTTGATAGCGCAGTCGCTCTATCTGTAGTCATCGATGAACTTGGGATCCTAAATTGAGAATGGGCTTGGACCATATACCTCTGAAGGAGTGACCAGAGGCGGTAGGGTCTCCAGTTTCGACAGCACTCTGAACTTTGACTCAATCGATTTATATCGATGAATTGGTGGAAAATTTTCTCACTTTGACAGTCCTTTGCGGTCAGGATACTCTACGTCCTGGTCGAGCGTAAATACGAATAGAAAGAGCTTGAGAAAAGTCGAACCTGTGCAACTGGTTTCGATGTCCACGATGAAGGCGACCAACTAGGTTTTGAGGACATGATGATACCAAGTCAAGAGAGAGACCGTGTGAGCAATCAATACTCCGAAGTTCCGAGTCATAAATTTGAGTGCCCAGCGTCTAGATCTGGCCATTGAGGAGAAGAAATCTAGTATCTGAACTTATAATATGGGCATGTAGAGTAGAGTTCAAGCCCACCCGTACTCAAAGTCTTGGTACACCTGTGTACAGTATACACGCGCAACCCACGCGTGACGCAATCGTCATGCACAAATCACGCATATACCTCGAACTCTATTTGACTATTAGTATTTCATTATCATATGAATGTCGCGTCAGACCAAGGAGGACTGCCGATCTGGTGGCACCACCAGATATTTACCTTGCGGACCATTTGACTTTTCGTGTATCCATCAACGCACTCCTGCCAAGATTCACTACTCGCTCGTCTTGAATTTTGATGAAATACAGGCCTCACGACGACGATAATTGCCAGAGGATGGGTTGTATTCGCCTCGTACTCCTCGACTATCGTCTAATTCAACGCATACTACATCTACAGTCTTCTTCCTTTTCAAGCCTTCCGTCACCTGCGAGTGGTATCAGAGCTCAAAGAATCGATTCAAAACGAACGTTCAAAACTAGCTATAATATATAGATATAACTAATATGTATCAAGGTTGCCGTCGCATTCAGTTTCAAGGGTTATCGTCAATTTCTCCCATAAGTAACCTCAAGTGACCTTCAATAATCCTCTTCTCATACCTCTCCATCACTGACCTGTTAGTCTCAAGTCCCTGAATCACACTTCACGCCGCATAGACAAATGATTCAAGGCCAAGCTTTGTGTTGATGATGTCAGGTCTGTTTTACTTCTATCACTTATGCTACCTGCCAAGATTGCGAGCTCTATTGCTGTTGCAGGTTGTGCATTACATCGGTTCGGCAGCGGTGAAGAATGAGAATGTAGGTCAACTCTCTCTCACTCATGTAGTACCCCTCCATAATGTAAAATTTGTTTTTATCAGAGTTCTGTAGCACGGATTGCCAGTGCGAAGTGTCACCAGAGTATAATACGTCCCCGTAGGATTACTTCAGACACAGAATTGTGGACAGCGATAGATAGTGAGGAAGGCTGGAGAGACGTTGATTGTTTGTACGATTTCGAATAGAACAGAGGCATATCATCGAGTAAGACATAGTTATTGATGACCGCCCAAACGATTTATCTGAGGAAATGTTTTGCTTTCCTTGCTGTAGACCAAGCGAAGATGGCGACAAGGTGTGCGAAGGCTGTAGCTGTCGGGTGAAAAGTGAGGCAGGAAACTTGAAGCGACTGCAAGGCGGGGTACATATGTTGGTCGCGGGCGACAAAGATAAAACAAATTGGATAAATCCATCAATACTGTGCTGTTCCAATGAGGCGAGTAAGGAGCTCTAGCTGAGCAGATGAAAGACTGTTCCTGGGCTGCGAGATGAGCAGAAGGAAGGAAGTTCAAGAAGAGTTGACATACCCTCAACGCATTTTTTCCAAGGCTTATGAATCCTACTAATCTCAAACTTTGATAATTGTAGTGCTCAAGAATCTCTTTTAGCACAGCATGCTAACATTATAAACTTGACGGGATATCTTCATTCACACTGCGGACAAAGATATCATTTAGCAAGGACAGTTCGACAGCAAAAAAGGTCATGATATATGTGAGCGGTGATGATTCAGAAAACTAATAAAATGATTGTCTCATACGCCTTGGGCGTCGAAGTGAGCTGAGTTATGGTATCATCATGAAGACTGCACACGAAAGGTAGGTCTGTAGACGAGAATCAGAATGCTTACCAGTACTAGCACTATGGAGAGCATTTCTCTTTGCTCCGTGAAAGTCTGAGTTGAACGTCAGAGCAATTTCATCCGTTGTTTATGGACATTGGAAGAAATATAAAGGAACGAGAAAGTGGTTGCGCTGAAAACCAGAAAATTCAAAAATGTATCACGTGTTAAGATAAACATCTTCTCACCTCACAACGGCGCGCCGGCGTCTTCTAAGGCTCCAACCGTACTATCTATATACTATCTATATATGGTTATAACTATATATGTATTTGTATAGGTCTACCCCCCCCAAGAGAAATTTAAACATACAGTATGTATACTGTTTATACTGTATATATGGTTATTCTACCAGCATGCGAGGTCCATCGTGTCCAATTAGTAATTCAGGTTGCTGGGCCACTTCTATTACACATTCTTGACAGCCCTAGCTGTGTTCGTTGTGAATCCCGCCTACAGGATGTCAATGAGAAATAATTGAATCTTTTGTCTCCCTTTTTCCACTCCTCTCTTCAAACTTTATGGCTGAAGCAGCGCACGTTCAGTGTGCAGCAGCAGTAAGGCTGTTGAGTACCCTTGTCAAAGGATTACCAGACCATGTTCCTCTTGCATCCACAGAAAGCAGAATCTCAGAGATATTTAAAAAGGTACCGGAGCCTCTACCATCTGCGGACCCTGATGAGCATTGGACTACTTTCAATCGTCGCATGGACTTGTTGTATGGGAATGATGTACGTGGTGCTGATGGTAAACTATTAAACATCACTCGAGGCCCATTGGGAATGGATCTTGTTGTTGGATATATTCAAAGTGCAGTCGATGCAGGCCATCTACTATGGGAAGCTGCCTTGCCAAAATTTGCAAGGTTGGTGACTGGTGTGCAAAACATAAGGTATGCATTCAATGGTACATAGTGAAGAGAATTTCGATTGACAAAAATACTCCTAATAGTAAAGACCCTCCAGTACGAACAAAAACTCCACCAAGAATGACCATTGAAGAAGTTAATGATGAAGAGGCGCCGGCACCAACGATTCAAAAGTCTCAGCACACGAAGGCTAAAACCAGCACAAGCAAAGAAAGTGTGCCGGGAAAATCTTCGGCAAAGCGGAAGAAGACCACTGCCAGTGGTGTCGACATTTGGGCTGATACCTTATCTGCTGATGACGCTGATTATATACTGCCAAAGCGTTCTCGCATTGAAGAAGATTCGGAAAGTGAGGTATTTGATTCCAATAATGAAGAGATAATCTCGACCACAGAACGTGGCAAAGGATTGGTGAGGCATATCTTATTATGAAAGGAAAAATCGGAAGTATATGACAAATTTTAGAAGGAACGCAGCAAAAAGAGGGCAGCCAGGGGAGCGGAGCAGAGAGACACCAAGACAACTAGATTACGCAAAAATAAAGTCATTTCAATCGACTCTGGATCGGAGTCCGATGGACAATCAGCACAGCACAAAGTGGATACTGAAGAGGCAAGGGAACAAGCTAAAGGTGCTCGTCGAGGGCCTTCCAATGCCAGTATGCAGCATTTCCATGAGCCGGTTGCAGTCATGGATAAAAAGAAGGGGGCACGTTGAGAGTTCAAATGTCGATACTGTGAATGGTAAGTTCAAGTTTATTCAGATGATTACCAGAATTCATACCTCTGTACATAGTGTACGCAGCGTTGAAAGGACAGTGAAGGGCCCTAAAGTATCATTTGATGATGAGGGAAAGTTGCCCAAACTGAATAACCTTGCTACCCATTCGAACAAGTGCAGAGGAAAGTCGAAACCACAGGAAAGAAGTGATGAAGGGAATGGAACAGAGCAGAGCACAGCTGAGGGTCTGAATCTGAAGCGTAGCGCTGATCTAATGCGCAACTACCTCAAGGATGGCGAGCTTAACCCTGAAGCTCTTACCACCGAGAGAGGCTTTTTACGCTTATTTGCCGCCTGGATACTGGATGAAGACTTGCCATGGACCACTGGAGAGGCACCAAGTCTTCGTTTACTCTTCAAGTATCTGAAAGTTCGCTATATGTTGCCTTCTGATACGACTGTTCGCAATCAGCTCGCAAAGATCTTTGCTGAGCTAAATGCTAAAGTAGTAAAATCGTTCACGGTGTGTATGAAATTTTTGTGTGATTCAACAACTGATCATTTCTATAGAGCGTAAAATCGAAGATTGCTTATGCTGAAGATACATGGACTACAAAACAGATGGTTTATACTTTTGCATGTACTATTGGAAGTTTCATTGACGATGACTGGAGATTGGTTGAGATGGTGGTGGATTTCAAGCCTTTAGAAGAGAAGGAACATGAGGGAGAGTATGCAGGGCAAGCATTTGTCAACGGAGTGAGAGAGCGAGGAGGTCTCAATAAGATATGTGATTTCACGTTCATGAGTCTACTGCCATATAACTGACCGTTTACTATCTACTGTATCAGCCTCACCACCGATAATGCCTCTGTCAATGATGTCCTGGTCGCTACTGTTGCACGTTGTGTTCTCGCATGCTATGGTGTCGAATGGAATCCAGATGGCCATATACGTTGTATTGCCCATGTCATCAATCTCACAGTTCAAGATCTATTGGCATCGATGGACGAAGCAGAATGGTCAAGCAACATCGACTACTATGAGCTTAACAAGGATGCACCATTTCACTATAGCGTTGATGAAGATGTCAAACAGATTGCACTGGAAGCAGAAGGGGACAGTGAACAAGTTGATGGAGAGGAAGATGTAGAGATCGGAACAGCTATACAAAAGGAGGAGGCGAAGAAAAAGAAGGCGGAATCGAAACAGCAGTGTGAAGAATCAGAGCAGACTGTTGCCGAAAGTATGAAGGGAACGAGTGCACTGCGTCGGGTTTGTCATTTTTATGATTGCCATATATCGTTCTTATTCCCTTTTTACAGCTCCGGTTCATTACAACAAAGATCGTGTCTTCACCTCAGCGCCACCAAAAATTTCGTAGAATTGCTCATTCGAAATATTCAGAACAGACTGAGGAGAATGCCAGACGAAGAAATCTGATGGTTGTACGCAATGTCCGTACTCGATGGAACTACACCCATGCCATGATCCGTCGTGCCCAACTCTTACAAGAAGTCAGTATTGCTGCTTTTTATTCTACTTTCATGGAATGAAACTCTATTTTAGGCTATCGATACTTGGACATTTGAGACAGAAGAGATGCGCCCGCTGCTTATTGACAAAAAAGAGTGGAAACTCTTAGAAGATCTTGCAGATATCCTTGAGGTATGTCAATCCTGCCTTTTCCTTTCCTCCATGCTCATTGCATTTCAAGCCGTTTACACATGTTACTCTGATTATGTCTCGCACTTCACAGCCGACAATTCCATTTGTGCTTCCTGCATATCATCAACTCGACACACACCTAGAGGCTAAAAGTACCGAGACTAGTTTGCCAAAGATACTCACTAACGCGGCATCTGTCGGATTAGAGAAGCTGAGGAAATACAAGCGATTGGCAGACGGGAACCGATTCTATGTTCTTGGTACTGGTGCGTTCCCTATTCCTTTTTTTTGACTGTCTTTGACATCCTTGGCAGTATTACACCCGGGAATGCGCTCCAAATGGTTTGAGACCCTCGGAACGACATCATGGGAACGAGAGGACCATCGAGACAAGGCTGAAACTATGTTCCGACACGTTGCGCTGGATTACTTCCAAGAACAACTAACCTCACCAACTCCTGACCAGTCATCCCTCAATAAGCCGAAGCCACCTGCTAACGGGTTCTTGAGCCAGATGTGTGCTGTTGACCTCTCATTCATTCCCACTTCACCTCGAGCAACTCAGGCCGATTTGGAGGATGAAATATCGCGTTATCTCCGATTTGAGGGAGGCGTTGGGAAAACACAGGAACCACTAGAATGGTGGCAGGTAAGGTCTATTATGCCGCTGCACTTTCGTTTCTGAGTTAAAGTATAGAAACACGCTGGTTCTTTTCCTACCGTTGCTCGAATGGCGCGCGACTTTCTTGGCATTCCGGCAACTAGTGTTTCTGTTGAGCGAACATTCTCGAAATCTCGTCACATTTGCTCAGACTTAAGGGGTTCATTGAAAGCTGAAACCATTCAGAAGGCTCTTTTGGCGAAGGTCTGGATTCGTAGTGGATTATTAGATGTTAACGAGCCCGTTAAACCTCGCAAAAAGCATGGTTCTGTGGACCGCGTGACTCAAAAATGATACTGTATGTTTAACTGTCTTTATATAGTAAACATACGGTTATACACTGTATATGTATATTTACGCTGTCGAGGGTATACATATACAGTACGGTTGGAGCCTTAGCGTCTTCGTTGGTGACCATTTCTTTCCAACTCACTTGACACTGACTCATGGTCTCAATTGCACTTCTCGACCTCCCATCGTATAATACTGTTTATCCTTGGGGATGCCGCTCCTTATAAACAAACATGTTTGATTTACTGCTTGCCTGGAGCTATAACTCTACCGGCATGCCCATGACATTTGCGTCGTTCAGAAATTAATGACTAGTGTGATATGATATGGATGGTACTAGATGGTACTCCCTAAGTTACTTCGAGATGTTACAGTTATCAAACGGTTACAATGTACAAAATGGACCTTTCGAAATGAAAACTTACTATTGAACAACGAGAGCTACAATACGTGCATATGAAAAGATCAAGTCATGGAAAGGGATGGAGACGCAAAGAGAGAGAGAGAGAAAATGTAGATTATGTGAACAACGTAGGAGGAGGAAAATACATCAAATCATAGTTTCGCTAATTTCGCCCTAGAATCCGGCTTGGGACCAATAGTCGAGTGGATAGCAGACACATACAGTTTGTCTGTTTCGGAATCCATGATCTGAAAGTGTGCGTTAGCGTAGTGGATAAGATGAACACGGCGTGGACTTTCGGAATAACCCACCTCAACCCGAGCAGTCCTGATACGACCTTCAATGAATATAGACGTTGAAATCGCACGGAGTCGGGTACCACTATAGAAGATGAAAAGGAGTTGAACGTGAGCTGGAGACAGTGCAACCAAAGGCTACTCACATTTTGGCAGGCCGATGCCATATCAAATTCATACTTTGCGATACTCCTGTTGCATCGATACCTAACGCGGCGCCCAGGACGACAATAGCTGACATCGAACATCTAAAACAGAGGGGAATGGGTGTTAATAGTGTGCGGCAATACAAGTTTGGAAAACATGCATGTAGGAAAAAACTAAGTTGAAAACGAAGTTCACTAAGACGGCTGAATTGTGACCCAGTCTAGATTCGTTTGGATCTCAAGTTCCAAGAAGATCAGTTTGTAGAAAACGTGTAACTCGGCATATATATACGAAGATAAAAATGGAAGACGACTCGAGGCTGGGATCTCCTTCAATCTTTCAGGATTTAAACACAGACATAACGAATCTATCTTGAATCTGTGGCTATCTCTGGATATCACAAGCCAGAGATAGTCACACAATACAAGCACGAGGAACAAATGACAAACTGATCAACGATAGAAAGTTTAATAGAACAACGCAAGGTATTCACACCAGGCAACCGCCGATGAGAAAGAAGGGCGTAGGGGCGCAAGGAAAACATAATGTCGAAAAAATTCAGAAGGAAACGATATGGCTCGAGATGTACTCACGGATCGACGATGTAACATGCACAGGCGCCGTGTAGGGTTCCGTATGGATTACACATATCTGAGTTGGAGTGAGTAGACCATAGTCGACGAGACTCTAGCATATACTCACCTTTGGTAATCGGGATCTCGAAAATCGTTTGAGCTTCCGTCGCTCGTTGAGGGATACGTCCCTGGGCATTCCCTGGGCTAGTTGCCCAGACGTTCATGCTCCTCATCTGTAGCCTTCGTGCAATTGCGACGCCAAAAGACTCCTCTTTTGCTCCAGTGTAATAGGCCAACATGTCCATGACATGCCTTTTGGCTTGGTCAGAAACATTTCCATCGATTGAGGACACGTCTAATGGAGCTGACGAAGAAGAATTTAAGGGCGCGGGCAACGCAGAAGTTAATGAAGTTGATGCAGAACTCGACGTGGTGGAATCAGGAGGTATGACGGGGAAAGCAGAGGTATCAGACTGCCAATCTTCCTGCTGTTGGTGTTGAGAGCGGTTAGACGACATCGGGAGGCTAGAATTCCTTCTTGGAGCGGAAGTAGATTGTAGAATATCCAGGAATATTGTTTGAGAAGAGGAACAAGAAACAGAAATCAAAAAAGGCGGTGGGTATGGTTCAAGGACAAGAGTTGATGATTGGCGTGAGTACTTGGTATATATCGACGCCTTTTGAAGTTCCTTGCAAAATGCCGACCTCAGGAAGAAAATTGATTTGATAGACGTCTATCCAAGTACTATAAGTGTAATTCCCAGATTGAGTAGATTGAAATCGAGATGTTGTGAATCTACTGTCACAGCAGCTTCTCTTCCAATCGGATGGAAGAGCCATTGTCTGGCCGCGGATCCTCCTGGTCGGCTTTCAACAACATTAAGAATACCCACATAGGCCGCTGTACCAAAGTTTTTACCAGGTCTTCAAAGTGGTGTCAAATATTGCACTTGACTCATTATAAACTAACTCGAACGCCATTCGACATTCATATCCGCAAAGATCCACCATCCCTGCAAGCTATTAAGACAGTCCCCGGCGCGGAACGGCGTTCATTGTCACTCTGCATTTGTACCGACGACGCGTAGCACGACAGAGGCAAAAGTTTCCTCCAAGCCGTGACGCATCGTCTGCGCCGTAAGGCGCGTTTGTACTATTCAATTTTGACCAGAGAAAGCTTATCGATCTCTGCTTACTGTATTGAGGGCATATCGTATTTTGAAGCGGCAATTGAATAAACATTGAAGCTTGGAAGCGTAACTTGCAGCGTAGTACATGTTCTGAAATTGGTTTCGCAGTCACTTGTTCATTTGAGGATCCTCGAGCATAACTTTAGAGTGAGATCAGACCTGATGAGGGGCCTTGATTGTCTTCATTCTCGCCACGACCGTTTACCGTGGGTTAGCTTAGTCAATGTTTTCTGGAGAGAGAAAGAGTGTAAAATCAGCTTTGGTTCCAACGTCGGGGCGCACTATTTCCTGAAGCATAGCTAGTCCAGGGAGGTCCAGGGCGGCCCGCAAAAACTCGGGCAAAGCGAATAATTTCGGGTTTGACAGCGTCGATCACGAGAATTCTTTACATCCTAAATTCGATAGCCTTCGAAGGACAGGCTCATAGTGAGCATGAGCATGAAGTGACTCGATTCCGGCTGACTGTTGATTCGCAAAATCCCAGACATTGGTTCCATCAAGGACGATGGATACTGTCCAGGTTCTAGCGGTGAGCAAGCAGAATCAAAAGCAGATTCGACAAAACCACAAGACCAACAAGATCAGAGAGGATAAAATCTCCGGAAGGTACCGAACGTTCTGCAATTTGGACACTGATAGCCTAAATTCATGTAACTTCGATGTAGGTCCAGGCAGAGGAATCAAAGACGTCAAATAGAGGATACTTACTCGGTTCATTGTTGGATACATACCTGGCCTGCAATGCGTTGAGGTACAGCTGAGACTGGTCTAGGAAGTAGTGCGATTTCGAAGTAACAAGGTACCGACGCTTTGCACACACGAATCGGAATGCCCGTTTACGGTGCAAATGGTGAAGAGAGAATTTAGTGCTGCGCATGATTGGGACACGAGCATTACTGAAGAGAAGACTTCTGAATGACTTATGAACCCCACGCTGATCGCTGACTGACTCGGAGCATCAAGAGAACGTCCTATCTGTTAACTTTAAGAAGTTGCGTGAATATCGAATTATAGATTGCTCAGAGAAATTTTTCGAATGTGCTCACCGGTGACTGGTAGCCACTGCCACGAGATTGACCGCCACCAGGAGCAAGGTCAACAGAGGTCGCCGTTATCGCTCGCCGGCGTTCGTGAATTCTTCGAGAAACAGTTATTTGTCGAGAACACTGAACTTTCAGGTTATACAGAACGGAAGCGTCAGAGTACCATTCAACATCAGAAACAATCAAAACTCGTAAGATCTCTTCGAAAATATGTCATAGAATGCAAGTGTCCCCGTACTTCGATAAGGTCTCAAGACTACCGGAGGCTCTACAGAGAGGATGTCTTGGGACGGAATGTTCTGCTTTTGACGATGAGCGAAAATGCCGCCAGTCGGAAAGGACAACGAAAGACTGACCTGAGCGCATGGATAACCAGAGTAAATGGAGTAACAAAACACTTCTTGTGTTCTATCTTTTGCTCATGTTCATATCCGACCCATCCTGCTGACCGCGTTGACTATGATATTCTGACCAATCTAGATATGGAGAGATACAGGATACAAGAAATCTCGTCAAGTATAGACCCTTCGGAGGTTTTCAATTTCTGGGTTTCAAAAGGGTTCATTTTCGACTCACTAGTACGCAATTGCAGTCTGATTGGCCCTCTACTGTATTTCCGCTTTTTTTGTCTTCACTTCAGCCTTCTAGACGGTCTTCTATCTCTTGAAATAAGACTCAGATAGCACGGAGATTCGTCAGACGTTGGATGAAAAGCCAAAACATGCGCGCAACTTGAGGAGGGGATCTGAAATCTGGTGTGACGGCCCTTGTTAGTGAGTCGAAGATGGGTTTTTGTCTACCTGTTTTGCGAATCTGATGCTTGGAAGGTCCGAAGACTGACAGAGATCCTGCTTATGACACGAAAACCTGAGAACATGGTTCAGATTAGAAGGATAACTGGGGTCTACACCAATAAGCCCCATACACTCTCCGCCTGACCACTAGCTCTGACTAGCGAACACCCTACCAGCGAGATTCGAGAAAGATCTTTCAAAGAGCCTAGACGTCTACTACGTCCGTTGAAAGCCTACTTATCGATATAGAGCCTGGCAGTAGGGTCGGCGAAAACAGTCTGAAAATTCTGATGCCTCACAAACATTCAACTCAATCTCCGGCCCGCCGAGTGCCTTTTCCATTCTTACGGCGGGAGGGGCAGAGGCTATTTGCCTAGCGCGTTGACCTCTTCCCCTTCCACTTGAATCATACACGATGATAGACACGGGACGGGGCCTAAATGAACTACGTCCACTGCACCGGGCTCAAACAGAAAAGGCTAATTTTCTCCGACGACGACTGAGTTATACTGAGGATTGAATAAGATCCTCAGAAACACTTGTGAATCTGTGAAATAATCTGTCCATAAATCACGCAGTTTGCCTCGACAGTATGTTTTGGGGAATGAGCATAACTATGTAACTCTCAAAAATAAACGGACCACACAATCACCGACCGTTACCCTAGGGAAAGGGCTTTCTGGTATGAAACTGGACTCATGATCAGAGTGGCAGACATTCGCACATCGTTGATTGTCATTGAGAGGGTTCAGATTCCTAGTGACAATAAACTAATGGAACTAAGAACTCATAGAATGACGGTACGTCCGACTTATCTATAATTTAGGAACACTGCTCACTTCCACTGAAGTAATCCACACGGGTTAGCATGGGTACGTTGACACCATTTCAACGCTCCAAGTCTCCAGAATCCGAAAAGAGGGAAAACCCCAGATCAAAATGGAGTCCCTTGAAGCTTGATGACTGGAATGGAAGTAACCCGACGAGGGAAGGTCAAGAAATAGATAAGCTTTGTGGGTTGGTTGAGAATGAATAGTAATAGAAAATACGTCGGATAATGTAATTATCATGAAAACAGTATATAGGCTCTATGCCACACCGAGAGGCTCGGAAAGTGGAGAACAAGGAATCGATATGCATATCCTGGAATAGAGATTTCAAAGAGGTTGAAGATCCTTACCCGAACGCCGCCAAATCAGATTTAAGGGGAATCGCAACTCCAGCACGACAATTCATTGCACCGACAGTGGAAAGATATCATATCAGATATCCAAAGGAGATCACAGGGGGTCACAGCCGAGCGATGTTCATTCGTACTGCAGCATCGTCGAATGCTAAGCCAGCGTACGGTGTTTTAGTGATTACTTGTTTTCATTTTTAAGAGCCATAATGATGTCCCGAGGAGGACGAATGGGCGCGAGCAGTACATCCCCGACGAGGAAAAGGCATTGGTGCACCAGAAAGAGACTCCGCTTCTAATCATATACTAAGATTGAAGAGAAATAAGTGGTGTGATTGGATTTCGAATGCCGAGGGGTAGAGCGTACCATGTACTATACCTTCAAGCGGGAAATACAGCTTCAGCATCTACAACGATAAATAAAGCTATGCAAACTGCTCACCGTAAAATAGTGTCCAAACCAACACAAAGGTAAACGCGTTATCTGAACCTGGGTTCAATAATTCCATTATGCCACTTCCACCTCCATTGACACCCTTCGCTGTGACTGCGCTGGCCATATACCTTCCCGGCTTTCCCTTACAACACACGACATAGATACACAATGCAGCCCAAAGCATCGCAAGTGCAAACAGACCAAACCCAGCAAAGTTGGTCAGACCAAGGATGCCAGCCACGGAGCCAGCAAAGACGGCGGATATAAATTTTATGGACGTCAGGGTGAGAATGTTGTGTTGGACATTGGGAGCGTATAGAAGCTGAACAGATTGTTGTGCTGACGATGATGGATCGTTTGACATGGTGGCGGCTAATGGGCTATGAAGAATGTTTGTTCTATCACGTTCTATCATGTTACCAATTAGGCCTATAGGCTACTTCGATGCGACGCCTCATATCTTACTGTGTATATTTTTGATTTAGGAAAACTAAACCATCGTTGGGGAATTTGGAAGAGGAATGCCAGAAAGATTGAAAACTACCCCTTGAGTAGGTAGGAGGAGTTCTGGCTTCGCTTCAAGCGCTGACTTCATTTATCTCCCTCAGTTCTTTCAAGGTTCCACAAGGGTCTACGTGCGAAGGTGGGCTATCGCGCTGCGCGCGTGGCAGGAACGATTCCTCAAGAAAGCATCTACTGTATGTATATACGCCAACATTTGGATTGCTAAGATACATAGATAATGATGAAAAGAGTGGCAAGAAGTACGGCGCCCTTGGGCGCCGATTGTGAAAGATAGATAGATACAAGAGGTGAGGGAGATTCAGATCGGGTACACGATTCTCACGACCCCCCCCCCCCAATGAATAGAGAGTCCAGGCAGGGTCTATTTGTAGAACTGTCTCAAATGCCCTTCAAGCTCACATATACCTTCCAGACTGTACCTAAGTAGTTGGATATCATCAATAAGTGACACAAACACAGGTATTCGAAGATTTCGAACAAGTTTTATGGCCTCTCGAACCATCATAGGATGCCGTGCAGCTCGGCTTGGGCTTGGTCAGGGCCTTTCGCGTGGCAACATAAGTACCCCCGATCTGAATCTCCCTCACCTCTTGGATAGATAGATGACCTTGCTTGCTTAGGTCCTTCTCCAGTCCGCCCGATTAGCGCGCGTGAAGATTTTACCACGGTTTTTCAGATTATCATTTCGTCTCACGTCACATTATCTTATCTGCACACCTTCTCACCAATTATTACACTCTTTGTCGGTCGCATAATGTTCCTTCGTTCGTTCTCAACAATATTACCTACAGAGTCTACCTGACCAATCTCCTTAACGTTAAATATTCCCCACATTGCAGAAATCCTTCCAAACGGACATTATCTCTTAAAATCACTCCATCCCACTTCGCTATTGCTTTCCTTTCAGTTGAGTCGTAAACAGTCACCCTCATCTGTGTTCTTCTTGGAAATCCTACTTTGGTCAACACATAATCCACTGCATCGGAAATCGCGTCAGGATGACCAGTTACCATCACCACTATCTCTCGAATGTTCTCTAATCGTGTCAATAGTTCAACAAAAATGTCAACAGCTTCTTCATTAGCCTATAGTGGGAATTATCAGTACGCATTGTAAGTCGTTATTTCGACGTACGTGGTTTGGCTGATACCAAATTCCTCTCAGGACAAACTTGAGCGTCTGAAGCTGCGGTGCTGCATTCAATACTTCCAACACCTGTGTATACGGTTGCCCTCCTTGCGTTTGAAGCTCCAATGTTGTTACAGTTTGGACTTTGGCCAACGCATTCACGAACAATGTCCATTCAAATTCTGCCACTTCGTCATCTATCAACGTCATTGTCTGGATCTGTTCATTGTTGCTTTCCAACAACAAGCGATTGTGCACGATCGATCCTGAAAAACGGTGTAATGCGGGAAGCTCGTTGAAGTCTAATACAACACTTCCTCCCATTCTATTGGACCTGTACTCCAGTCTGGTGACGGTGACATGCCGTTGAATGAATTGCTTCATGTTCGCAACGTTACTCCTGTCGTCGATGTACAACCCTCGCAAGTCCTGGAACTGAAAACCGTTATTGTCCAATAGCCGTTGCAATGGTCTCTTGTCCCTACGCAAGGGTTTACGTCCAATGCGAATCGATAATTGCTGGACCCTCGTTGCAGCCCGTTGCATTTGATCCAACAACTTTGCTAGCATAAAATAATCAACTTAACCAGGGTGAGCATGCCAAACTCTCATAAAGTAATGTTTGCGCACCTGGCATACCCAACGACTGTAAATCTAGTCGCACTGTCCTCAGTGTTTTCGAACACATTTGCAGCTGTTTTAGTGTTTAGTCACGGACTCTCACATCTTTATGCTCTTACAATTTGTATGGACACTTGCCTCTGTCTATGTTCTGAGGCTGGTGTGCAGAGATTAAGTGTCTGAAGGTGGCGGAACGCTAGTGGTACTGAAGAAGGGAAGACGTCAACCACGGTTTGTAGGTTGCTGATGAAGCTGAACCCTTGCAATGGGTGATCCCTACGGTAGTGGCCTACGTTCGCCAATGCCTGTGCGACAGTATGTACGAGTGACTGTTCTGGATCCACCAGAACTACTGACACCTCGTTGACTGATATCGCGGGATGCTTAGCGCCCCACTCCTGGCCTGTCACTACTTTTTTCGATAGAGTCGCCAATGCCACCGAGGGTGCGTTAACGTACAGAAAGCCGTTCAAGTTGATGTGGGTTGCTCTCGTTAGTTGGCTGAGCACTGACAGGGCACGTTCCTTGTGCTCATCGTATGCCGCCACTTCTAGTATCAGTTCCCTCGGCATGTCGAGTAGTGTTGCCGTCTTAGCACTTGTTCCACGTTTTCGTCTATGACTCCACATCGAAGATCGTAAAAAAGGAATGGTGTGCGTTGTAAGCAGTTGCCGGTGTTCACTCTTTCCACTGTTTAATCACTTATCTTTGAACTTTGTCATTTTTCATAGCAACTGCGACACACTTCAGCATTTTGTCAAATTTGGATGTGTTCTTGACCCTTCCGCAACTATTACTTCAGCTCCCTATATTACAGACATCAAAGTACGAGTGAGGCCGCCGCGTATTGGTGGACTAGGACAAAACAAGTACATCATGCCCGACTGTTATTCTGCCCGACAATTATCGTAGTAGATTCTGCATTTTGTCAAATTCGGATGTGTTCTTGACCCTTCCGCAACTATTACTTCGGCTCCCTATATTACAGATACATCAAAGTACGAGTGAGGCCGCCACGTATTGGTGGACTAGGCCAAAACAAGTACATCATGTCCGACTGTTATTCTGCCCGACAATTATTGTAGTAGATTCTAATCGTTCCGGTATCTTCTTCCTTTTCCTAATGCCTTTCAAATTCGGAAGACTTCCTACCTTTTGCTAATGCCTTTCTGTGAGGCCCCGGCACAGAAGGCCTGCTCTGGTCTTACCCAGACTGGGCCTAAGCGAACGCAGTAGCCGCCTAGGCCGTATGAGGAGGTATGGGATAGTGCCGATACTGGTGAGGGGAGCCTAACCAGGGGTAGTTGTGGAGCTTGGGTAGACCTAATAGAGGGTCCTGGAGGTGTAGAACGTAACGCGTAACCACCGCTTCGATGTGGAGGGGAGGTGTAGCCGATACGAGTGGGAAGCTGTGGGGAGCTTAGGGAGCAATGAAGCGGAATTGGGAACCTAATGGGAGGTTCCAAAGGATGAAGGACAAATTGTAGAGCCTCGACGTAGATGGTGAGTCGAAGTAGAGGCGTAGACAATACGAGGATTGACAGAAAGAGGCCAGAGATGGGGAACAGAGAGGAGAAACAGAGTTGAGGTGAGACAGAGATAAAGGAAACAGATAATGAGGAAATATATGACTGTTGAGACGTGTCAGGCCCTGTTAGCAAGTACTAGTAGACTGTACTAAAGGGACCAAGCCAGGTAGGAAGAGTCTCCAGGTAAGATTTGACAATAACACGCTGGGGAGCTCCGAGGGGAGTCCCCAGCCTACTGTACATGAGGCTGTCAGGTACATATGTCATGTGGCTACTGGAGTGACAGGTAATATGTACAGTAAAGATCGTAAGGATGGTGCATAGAATATTGGAAACATGTATAAGTGATGAACCGGAGCTCTGGAAAGGAAAGGGAAAGGTCCGGAGAAGCAAGGCATGACACTTTTGTCAAGTCCATGCCTCGGGCCTCCATTCCGCCGCTCGGTATTCCGAAGATCTACCTTTTATTGTAATCTCTTCCTTATTGTTCTTTCTCGCTACACATACCCTTTCACTCTAGTCCCTCCTTATTGTCTTTTACTTCACCCTGCAGGACTACACGTATAACTCCTAGTAGTTAGTCTGGCGCTCCGCCCCGTTGCGCCGCTCCGTAGATATAAATACTGCCTGTACGCTACTGTAGTTCCTCAGTTTAATTATCAACTTAGATCTCCCTTCTCAACTTAACTCTTCTCTAAGTCTTCAGGCTCAACGCCTCGAAGTACGTTCTCCTCGACCTTAGGACTTTGACGTTCTCTGGTCCGCTCCTCGTCATCGGCGATACCGCCGCTCCGACCTGGCTGCTACTTAGCTCCTCTCTCTCTACTCTCGCTCTCCGGGGACTAACGGCGTAACGGCGGTGTTGTTAATAACTTCACTACTGTCCCATTCGTCTTCCGCACTTAGACACCCTGTGGCCTTGGCACGGTTACACGGTGTACATGATCTTAACAGTATAATTAAACTCAATCCGTTAACGTCGTACTGACATATCATTTTTTATGCCTCCGAAAACTCGAGCTCAATCTAGAGCTAACTCCGAAGAAAACACTTTCTTCACTACAGCCCAATCATTTGCCCCATTCTCCGACTCTATCTCTGCCATTGGTCAACCACGTCGCCGTAATCGCGGTTTCGGTCCAGCTACAGTTCCTACTACGTCGACTCTTCCTGAAGCCATGGAAGAAGAACAACAATTCGAGTACAGTACATTGTACACTGGTGACGGACAACCTGTCCAAGTCCTGACCCCTTGCCGTGGACAACCCCCCGTGGTTGCTCCGGCTCGGGGCCGTTCAACTACTCGTATTGATTCTCCAATCCTCCAAGCCATAGCCCGCCGTACGGGGAAACAACCCCAACGTCGCGCTGCTTCTGAATCTCCTCGTGACCCACCTCCTCACTTCGATTTGGACACTGGTGATCACGATGATCAAGACCCTCCTGTCGACCCCGACGATCCGGGCGCCGATAATAACAACAACGATCTGGATGACGATTCCGGCGGTTTACCGCGTGGTGAACCTGGTGACCCCAGTGGACCTGGTGGTCCTGGTGGTCCCGGCGGTCCCGGCGGTCCTGGTGGACCTGGTGGACCTCGTTCTCCCATATCTCCTGACATCCCCAACGAGCAACGTGCTATGTTGGAACTCCTCTCGGGATTCAAGGGCTCCATTGAGACCCTTGGTACCGTCCTCGCCGCTCTCGGACGTCCCTCTGACAGCTCTGAATCTAAGAGCAAGGTCAAGGAGCCCGAGGTATTCGACGGTTCGGACCCCCGAAAACTCAAGACGTTCTTCGTCAATCTCGCCCTGGTCTTTAATGACCGTCCAAAGTACTTCACCGACCAACGGAAGGTGAACTATACCCTTTCCTATCTCAGTGGGTCAGCCAAAGAATGGTTTGTCCCTGATATCCTCGATCCGGATCTCGACTCGCTGCCGGCCTGGACGTCCTCCTTCAAGGCCCTGGTAAAGGAGCTTCAGGACAATTTCGGCGTTTACGACGCCCAAGGCGAGGCCGAAGATTCTCTCGGTAATCTGAAGATGAAGGAAACCGAGAACATCCGGAAATACAATATCCGGTTCAACACCCTGGCTGCTAGTACCAACTGGGATTCTGCTGCCCTGAAATGGGCTTATGGACGAGGCTTAGCTGAGCGCATCAAGGACAAAATGGCGCGTTTGCCCGAGCCGGCGACGCTCGCCGATTACCGTCAAGAGGTTCTTCGTATTGACAATCGTTATTGGAAACGCGAGGAAACTAGGAAGCGCGAGGCTGGTAAGCCTTTTGTTGCTCGGAACCCGAAGAAGGGTTCCTCGGACTTTAAGACTGGTTCTACTAACCAGCAAAACAACTCTCAGCCATCTGGCTCTTCGGCGCCGTTCACGCCGAAGCCTAAACCCTTCTCTGGTGGTAAGCCTAATAACAATGGTAAGCCCCAGAACTCTTCGAATTCCGGCCAATCCGGCGGTCAGCGCCCCGCGTTCAACCATCTTGGTGCAGATGGGAAAGTCCTTCCCTCCGAGAAGGAAAGAAGGATGAAGAACAACCTTTGTCTCTTCTGCGGTGGTAAGCATCAGATTGCTGACTGCAATAAGCGAAAGGCCCGAGAATCGAAGGGCCGTGCTGCCGAGGTTGAAGAAACCCCCGAAGCAACCATTGAGGTTGTTGAAGAGGATTCGGAAAACTAGTCCGCAGCTCTTGTTCCCCGGTACGAAACGGGAGCTGCGTTGATCAGGTTCGTACCTCACCTGGGGAGTTATATCTCAATGTGTCCGCTCTTTCTTCCATTGAACGATCTCTTGTAATATCATTGACTACTGAATTTCCTTTGTCCGATTCGGCCGCGCCGGCCGAACCTATTTCTGCTCTTCTTAAATTTCCTACTCTTGTTGATTCTGGTTCTACTGACTCTTTCATCGATACTCGTTATGTTTCTCAAAATTCCATTCCTACGACCAAAATCTCTCCTGTTAATCTTCGTCTTTTTGATGGTTCATTATCTTCTAAACCCATTACCGATATGGCGAATATCGCCGTTCGGTTCCCTTCCGGCGAGCTGCTTCTATTACCCTTTTATGTTACACATTTAGATTCATCCTGTAAAGCAGTATTAGGTTACAGTTTCTTATCCCGCTACAATCCGTTGATTGACTGGGCATCTCGAAACATTACGTTCCGTAACACTTCACATTTTGATTCTCCACAGACGTCTGTGCCTTCTGCTATCAACCCCGTTGTTGCAAAGGTCGCTGTTCCGCTACCGGAACCTTCGCCGTCGGTTTCACCGACAATTCTGGAGACCCCTCCTGGGGACTCACCTCGCTCTCGCTCTCGCTCCCGCGCTCGGACTTTACGGGCCAAGCCCCTTTTGTCCAAATTCCCTTTTGAACCCATCTACTCTTACCCTACGGTCTCTCAATTCGCTGCTCAGCTGGAAACTCCCGAGGTAGACATTGCACTTGTCAGTGCTGCAGTCTTCAATAGGGCTTGCAAGGACGCCGGTATGGAACCCATTCTTCTTCGTGCTATCCACTCAGAGGTCGCGGCCCGCGCCGCCGACCGCTCTTCCACCGCTCCTACTGTCCCTCCACTTCCTCCTTCCATCCCAGCAGAGTATGCTGAGTTTGCAGACGTCTTCGACGAGATAGCTGCAGATTCTCTTCCTGAACACAGACCTTACGACTTGAAGATTGACTTGGAAGAGGGCGCTTCGCCGCCCCTCGGCCGTATTTATCCTTTGTCTGAAAAGGAGTTAGTCGCCCTTAAAGACTTTATTGACAAACAGCTGGCTACTGGTGCCATCACCCCGTCATCCTCTCCTCACGGCGCTCCGGTCCTTTTTGTCCCGAAGAAAGACGGAAAACTTCGCCTTTGCGTCGATTTCCGTGGACTCAATCGTATCACCAAAAAGGATCGTTACCCACTCCCACTCATTTCAGATCTTCTCGACGCTCCGAAAAGAGCTAAAATATACACCAAATTGGATCTCGCTCACGCTTATCATCTAGTCAGAATCGCTGAAGGTGACGAATGGAAAACCACCTTTCGGACCCGTTACGGCTCTTACGAATGGAAGGTCATGTCGTTCGGCCTTA